ATCCGCGCGCGCCGCTGCCCGAGGGACCGCCCCCTCCGCGCCGCGGGACACGCCCCCTCCAACGGCAGCGGCCCCTCGACGGCGGCGGGAACGGCGGCGGTAACGGCCGCCCAACGGTCAATGGCCCCTCAACAGTCAATGACCCCCCCACAGCCCCTCCACAGCAACAGGCCCCAAGAACAACCGGCCGCCAACAAGCAGCGCCCTCCCCAGGGGGCACTGGCCATTGCGGTGGGCAGTGGTGCCTCAACAAGAGCCAGTGAACGAGTAGCCCATGAGCCTGCACCCGGCAATCGCACGCCCTCCTCAGCTGGGCTCCTGCACCCTCAAAACCGGGCCCTTCCACAGCCAGGCACCCCCCTGCCGAGTCCCCCCTGGGGACAACGAGGGGCCTGAGCTGGAGGCAGCAGTGCCCTGGCACCGCGGAGGGGGCATTTAGATAAGAAATCGGGGTTCCTCTGCCTGCCTCCTCCTCGGGCTGTGCTGCTCCGAAGGGGTGATCCCCTCTGGGGACACAAAGCCCCGGAGCGCCCGGGGCGGCAGGGTGGGCAGGAGCCACCGTGCCACCCCTCTCCGCCGGCAGCCTGCCGGGGCAGGCGTTTCCAGGGAAGTGGCAGTCGGGAGATGGAGATAATGTGATACTGTGGGGTGTACAGAGGCTCCAGAGCTGGATAGGGAAACCCAGGTCGCTACAGGCACCGAGTGCCGAGGTGGAGTGGCTTGGCAAAGCCGCGTCGCGCTGCGCCTCGTGGCCACACGGAGCTGTGGGGCTCGTGGGGCCGCCCGGCCAGCTGCTAAACACTGCGGAAGGGCCCTGCCTCGCGGCCCTTGTTAACGCGTTTTCCGTTGTTCCGTTCCCTCATCTGATGTTCCAGGACATTTCCATAGAAACAGGATCTTTGTTCCCGAGCAGTCCAGTTTCCAATAACTACAAACCGCATTAGAGCGAGGGCAGCTGCTCCCGGGTGCGCCGCGCGCGGATCGCGGCTGTGGGCGGCGGGCGGCTCCCGCCTGGGCGCTGCCTCGGCTCCGGTGATGCAGAGCACGGCGCAGGGCCCGTGGGGCACGGAGGGCGCCGCGCTGCGGGGACCCTCCCGCACGGCGCGTCCTCCTGCTGCACGGCGCCTTGCTCGCGCCTCGTGGCGCAGCTGCCGGCGTCCTGCTCCTCTCCATGCCTGCTGCGGCCGCTGGCAAGCTCAGCATGCAGGGGCAGTGCCCTCTGCCTCGGCCCATCGCAATCCCCTGCTGCATCAGCACTCGCAGTCCCCATCGTGCTGACGGATCCCGTCCGGCCAGAGCCGGGCGCTGCCGAGGCCACCAGCTCCCGCTGGCTGCTGCTGGTGTTCGGTGTGAGCGTCGCACGTGGGAGCCGCTCCGGGCCGGACCCGCCGCAGCCTGGGCTCGGGCTCGCGTGGCGCTGCGCGGGTTTGCGCCTGGCCGCGGGCGCAGCAGCCGTCGTGCTCGCCTTGTGTGCCCGCGGGCTGCCGCCTGTCACCAGATGGCACCATCACATCCGATACCACCAGCAGTGTCACCGCGAGCAGGTGTCACCCAGGGCAGGACAGGGCCTGCGGGACCTGGAGCACCAGCAGCCGCCCTTGGAACGGTGACCAGCCAAAGGCTCCTGGGGAAAGAAGCTGGTGTCTCTGAGGCGACTGTGCCCAGCACACTGGGTGCTGAAATAGTCCCTGCTTTGCAGTGGGTTTCTCCCGTGCTTGTGCCCACACGCACCCTGTCTAGCAGCAGGGTATGACAGCAGGGCAGTGTTCACCAGGGAAGCCACGTGGCCCCACACAGCGCGGCCTCGGGTCAGGGTTTTGACTCGCTTGTGCAATTACCCCAACCCGGCAGGCTCTGCACCTGAGCCTGGCTTTAAACCGGCGCGCAATACGCTGATGTCTCGGAGGAGATCAGATCGCCTTCAGGATCATCTCATATGACTCGTACACGGCTTTGCTGCTCTGAGATCCTGTCACCTTTATTTATGACAGCAGGTCCTACAGGGTTGCACAGGCAATTAAGACCGGCTAATAAACAATCGTAATGAAAGCCTCAAGGCCTCATAAAAGCCCGTGTAGGAGCTCCAGCAGATAGCAGCAGGTCAGCAAGGGCAGTGACAGCCCCTTCACTCCGTGACCCACATGGCTCTGCATGGCTGCTGCCAAAAATGAAACGGTGCCAAGTTCCCATGTGTACACACGTGCATACACACGTGCACACACACACACACGTGTGCAGCCTGCTCTCTGCACCTTAGTTCATCACCAGCTCTTTCCACACTCCCTTTTCTCTGGGGAAGAACACAGCTCTACAGAGCAACAGCAGCTATTACTATTTTCTTTCTCTCCTTTGGGGAGAAATTCACTGAAATAAGCACAAGGGAAATGTCTCTTTAAACCTCATCGGTTTTCTTTCCAGCAAATGCTGCTTCTTGACGGATTACGGATGAGCAGGATGCAAGTGGCCCCGGTTTTCTGAAGGCTGGAGAGCTTAAGCAAGGGCACGTTGATCTATCCTTAATGTGATTAAGTTACATCTCTCAGTATCATGCTAATTAAATTAAATTCCCCATTGCTGACTCTGTGGCTTGAACAGAATTGCCCAAAGTTGTTCTAAGACCACAATTCGCTTCTCTGCGTTTCATTGCATGGAAGAGCAGGTAGGATAAAAGCAATCTGCTAATAAAAAATCATATGGGTTAGAGAGCTCTTCCAGCTCACTGGGAATTCAGGTTTCGGTCTGGTTTGAGCTAGATTTAGATGGTAAACTTTAAATCTAAAGTGATTTTTGCTCTGAGTAAGGGAAGGAACTGGAAAAGCTAAGGTGAGCAGCTGGAGGGAGAGCACAGAGCTGGTGGGCAATGAAAGTGGGAGCAGCTTCTGCAGGTGCCCAAGCCACGACTGCAGCGAGGCCACCCGCCACCACGGCAAAGCCACCCACCACCGCAGCAAAGCCACCCGCCACCACGGCAAAGCCACCCACCACCACGGCAAAGCCACCCACCACCGCAGCAAAGCCACCCGCCACCACGGCAAAGCCACCCRCCACCACGGCAAAGCCACCCACCACCGCAGCAAAGCCACCCACCACCACGGCAAAGCCACCCACCACCGCAGCAAAGCCACCCGCCACCACGGCAAAGCCACCCGCCACCATGGCAAAGCCACCCACCACCACGGCAAAGCCACCTGCCCCGTGCTGCTGTGCAGCCCCTGCGTTAGCTTGCTCAGGTTCTGCCTGCGCTGGCACTAAAGGGCCGCAGTTGAAATCCCTGTCCTTGCCAAGCCCAGGAGTGACATGAATCCCTGTGAAACCTGCAGGAATTAACCCATCCCTCACCCGCGGGTACTGCTTTGCCCAGGGTGCTGCCTGGTTGCGGGGCCCGCGGCGAGCAGGGATCAAGTCATGGGTTGAGTTGGCAAAATGCATCCAGCTCCGGGTTCCTTGGCCCGGAGCCGCTTGTGGCCGCTCGGGTGGGTGGCACGAGCCACGGCACCCTTGGTGGGTCTGGCACCGTGTCCAGGGACGCGAGGGCAGCCGGGCAGAGCGCCCGTGGGCAGCATGCAGAGCAGTGCTGGGCAGGGCAGCGTCGGGCAGCGCTGCCGCCCCTCGCACAGCGCAGTGCAGCTCAGCGCAGCGCGGGGCCGCCCCCCAGCCGGGCGCTCAGCGCGTGCCGCCGCCGCCGCGTGCCCTCCCGTGCCCTCCCTCGGCACAGGGCAGCCGCCGTGCCCTCCCTTGGTGCGTGCCCTCCCTCGGCGCGAGGCTCGCAGCGCCGCCGGCCCGTCCTGCCGATCCCGAGCGGCTGCAGCGGCTCCATGGCCCGGCCACCCGCCCCGCCGCCCCCCGCGCCCCACAGGGACAAGTGGAGCAGGAAGGTGGATTTCCTCCTGTCCGTCGTGGGCTTCGCTGTGGACCTGGGCAACGTCTGGCGCTTCCCCTACATCTGCTACCAAAACGGAGGCGGTAAGGGCGGCACGGGCGCTGTCTCAGCCTTCTTTTCCAGCAAGAATGTTTGATTTTCATCCCCTAGACCCCCAAACTTGCTTTTCTCCCCTTGGCGGTATCCGGCCAGGACAGCTCCAGGGAGCGCCCAGCTTGGGCTCCCCTCCTGCATGACTCTTTTCTGTGTCTTTTCCATCAAAACCCTCCTCACCCACTGCTCTGCTGTGTGATGAGAGGTGTGAGCTGCAGGATGCCCCACACTGACAGCAGTGCTGGGATTAAACCGAGAAAACTAAGGCGATTCAGACTGAGCATAGGGCTGACACTGCGCGGGGCAGGAGGCTCATGTGCTCCAAACCTGGGCTGGGGGGCAGCGCCTGGAAAACCTGCAGTATGCACAGCTGAATGCACCCGTTGTAATGGTTGAGAGCAGAGCCCCCTTCCCGCGGAGCGGCTGGAACAGGAGGAGAACTCGGCAGCTTGCACAAACCCAGGGGATGCGATGGCCAAAGCCAGAGGCGCGCGGGGAACGTCCCCGTAGTGACCGGGGAGAGTGGGAGGAAATAGTCAGCGCTGTGCGCCCAGCTCGGGAGGCTGCGGGAGCCCGGAGCAGCCGGAGCTCCGCGGAGGCACCGGGCACAGGCAAGGGCAGGCAAGGGGAGGCAAGGGAGGCAAGGGTCCTCGGAGGCTGCTAACAGGAGCCCCTGGGGGCACAGGCGGCTGGGGGAGTCTGAGCTCCTGCAGCCCGAGAGGAGCCCAGTGCCCCCGGCAGGCCCCACTGCTGCCCGCGCTGCTCGGGCAGGCGAGCGCGGTAAGTGCCCGTGTCCCTCCCGCAGGAGCCTTCCTCATCCCCTACACGCTCATGGCCGTCTTCGGCGGCGTGCCGCTCTTCTACATGGAGCTGGCGCTGGGGCAGTTCCACGGCACTGGCGCCATCCCCATCTGGAGGCGGATCTGCCCCATCTTCAAGGGTGAGAGCCGCGGTGTGCGGGCAGGTGGGTGGGCGCAGGGGGGCACCACGACCGCACCAACTGCCCTCCTCACCAGGCATCGGCTTCGCCATCTGCATCATCGCCCTCTACGTCTCCTTCTACTACAACACCATCATCGCCTGGGCGCTCTACTACCTGTACGCGTCCCTCTCGGGGCCGCTGCCCTGGACGAGCTGTGGCAACCCCTGGAACACACCCCACTGCACCAACTACTTCGGGGGCAGCAACGTCACCTGGACCAACTCCTCCCGGTCACCTGCCGAGGAGTTTTACACGTAAGTGCCCGTGGGATGATGCCACCGAGCTGGTGGAGGCTGACGCACTGCAGCCTCCGTCTGCCCAGGAAGCTCCTGGGGATCTTCGTGGTCCCCTGGGCAGTGCTGCAGGAGATGGGCACTGTGCCACCCTGAGTCCCCTCCCGGGCACGAGGCTCTCGGCTGCAGGAGGAAGGTCCTGGAGATCCAGAAGTCGGGCGGTCTGTACGACGTGGGGGGGATCCGCTGGCAGCTGCTCCTCTGCCTCTTCCTCATCTTCACCATCGTCTACTTCAGCCTGTGGAAAGGAGTGAAAACTTCAGGGAAGGTGAGGGGACAGGGAGGGACAAGGTGAGGGGAAGGTGAGGGGACAGGGAGGGAGAACCGCGCACCACGGCCACACGCCGGCTGGCGCTGACGCCCGGCCACACTGCAGGTGGTTTGGGTGACGGCCACGCTGCCCTACATTGTCCTCCTGGTCCTGCTGGTCCGCGGGGCCACCCTGCCCGGCGCCTGGAAGGGGGTCGTCTTCTACCTGCGCCCAGACTGGGGCAAGCTCCTGAGCACGGCGGTGAGTCTGGCGCCCGCGGCGCCAAGTGCAGCTGCCCCGCGGTGGGGCCCGCTCCGCAATAGGCTTGGCTGGATAATTAGCAGTGTGCGCCGGGAAATCCTCGTTAAGGGAACGGAGGGCACAGCGGCCAAGCTGCCCGGGGCAGCGGGTCTGGTTTGGGACAGAGGGGCCGGCTCCGCCGCGACGCCCCGTCCTGCCCTCGCTCCTGCCAGGTGTGGGTGGACGCCGCCGCTCAGATCTTCTTCTCCTTGGGCCCCGGCTTCGGTGTCCTCCTCGCTCTGGCCAGTTACAACCACTTCCACAACAACTGCTACCGGTGAGCTGAGGACACGGCTGGGGGGCCCCGGGCGCAGGGACGGCGTGGGGACGGCATGGGGACATCGTGGGGACGGAGCCGCGCTCCTGGGAAGGTCCCCACAGCGACACCCCATCCGCTGCACAGGGACGCGCTGGTCACCAGCACCGTGAACTGCCTCACCAGCTTCCTCTCGGGCTTCGTCATCTTCACCGTGCTCGGCTACATGGCCGAGATGAGGGACGTGGAGGTGGAGGACGTGGCCAGGGACAAAGGTGGGTCTTGCTGTGGCGCCCCAGTCCCATGGTGGCAGTGTGGCCACCCGCGCCACCAAAGGGACCCTGTCCCACCCCCTGCTAGGGCCAAGCCTGCTCTTCATCACCTACCCGGAGGCAATAGCCAACATGGTGGGATCCACCTTCTTCGCCATCCTCTTCTTCCTCATGGTGATCACCCTGGGGCTGGACAGCACGGTGGGTGCCCGCTGGGGACCGCGGGGCGCTGAGATGGGCAGCGGGGCCGGCGCCTGCTCACGCGGTCGCTCCCGCCCCGCAGTTCGGGGGGCTCGAGGCCGTGATCACGGCCGTGCTGGACGAGTACCCGCGGGCGCTGGCACCGCGCCGGGAGCTCCTGGTGCTCGGCCTCATCACCCTCTGCTTCCTGGGCTCCCTGAGCACCCTCACCTACGTGAGTAGGGCCCGGGCCGGGCGCCGGCAGGGCCGGAGCGGCACCGCGCGAGCTCCAGTGCTGGCATGGCTGCAGGGCGGCGCCTACGTGGTGAAGCTGCTGGAGGAGTTCGGAGCCGGCTGCTCCATCCTGGCTGTGGTGTTGCTGGAAGCCGTAGCCGTGTCCTGGTTTTACGGTGAGCGACTGCGAGGCCGCGCGCGGTGCCGCGCCGATGTGCCACCAGCGCCACCACGGCCCGTGTGCCAGCAGGGATCCAGCGGTTCTCCAGCGATGTACAGGCCATGCTGGGCTTCGCCCCCGGCATCTTCTGGAAGATCTGCTGGGTCGCCATCAGCCCGGCCTTTCTAGCCGTGAGTATCCTTATCCTGAGAGACACAGCTCACCAACCGCCCCTGGAGCTGGGGGCTGCTTTTCTGCGGCACAGAACGGCCGGGGAGCTCCTCTGTTGAGCAGGAAACGTGCTGGGCTTCTTGCAGCCATGCACTCGTGCTGTATACCCTTACATGTGTGCTGCACTCCCGTGCTCGGTGCCCGGCCGCCGTGCCTTCGTGCCCGACACGGCCCGCATGCCCGCTCCCCGCAGTTCATCATCGCCAGCTCCCTGCTGGAGCAGCCGCCCCTGGCGCTCTTCGACTACCGCTACCCGGCGTGGAGCGCCCGGCTGGGCTCCCTCATCGGGGCCTCGTCCTTCGCCTGCATCCCCGTCTACATGGTGTACAAGCTGCTCTGGACGCCCGGCTCCCTCAAGCAGGTGCGCGGGGGCTGCGGGTCCGGCCCCGGCCCAGACTGCGCTCCGCGGCCCGGCAGGAGGCGGCGGCAGCTCCGCGCGCCCGGCCGTAACGGCGGCCTCTGCTCCGCATCCGCAGCGCGTGGCCGCGTGCCTGCGGCCTGAGCGAGCGGCCCGCGAGCCGCCCGCGGACGCCGTGCGCCTCGCGCCGCTGCCCTAGCGCCGCGGCCCGCGGGAGCCGCCCGAGCACCCAGCACGGAGCACCCAGCACCAAGCGAGAGGCTGGAGCCGCTGCCCAGCGCTGCAGGACTCCGTGCTGCAGGACCCCGTGCTGCAGGACCCCGTGCTGCAGGACCCCCTGCACTGCGGGACCCCCTGTACTGCGGGACCCCCTGCACTGCGGGACACCCTGCACTGCGGGACACCCTGCGCTGCGGGACACCCTGCGCTGCGGGACACCCCACCCTGGGAACACCCCGCGCTCCCGGACCCTGCGCTGCGGGACCCCGCGCGGAGCCGGCCGGCGCCCCTGGCCCCGAGGCGGGAAGCGCAGCCCGAATCCCGAGGCAGCAGCGGGGAGAGGAGCGGGGCCACGCCGAGCTCAGCCCCGTCCCGTTCTGTCCCAGCTGCGCCGCTGCGGCCCCGTCGCCGTCCCGCGCTGCCTCCGCCCGTGTCCCGCTGCATTCCCAGCCAAGCACCGCAGCCAGGCGCATCCCGGGCGCCCGAACCGGCAGGGAGCAGCGGGAAGCGGCCCGGGACAGGGCAGGGAAGAAGGGCAGGGAGAGCAGGGATGGGGGGGAAGGAGAGGGGAGGAGTGGAAGGAGGGTGGGAATAGGGGAAAGGAGAGGGAATGCGGAAGGGAAGAACAAGGAACTGGGAAATGCAGAGGGGAGGGAAAGGGAAATCGGGAAGGAAGGGTAGGAAACACAAGGGCAGGGATCTGGGAGAGAGGAGGGAAACAGGGAAGGGAGGAAAAGGAGTAAGAGAGAGGGGAGGGAAACAGGGAAAGGGTGGAGGGAAGGAATAGGCAAGGGGAGAAGGGAAAGGAGGGAAACAGGGAAGGAAGGAAAAGGAAGGAGGCTCTGAGAGCAGGGAGAGAGGATGAGGATGGAAAAGGGGTGTGAGAAAGGGTGGAAGCAGGAAGGGGAGAGGAAAGAGGGAGGGGAGGGAGGACGGGGGAGTGGGAGCAGGAGGAGCGGGAGGAGGAGCAGGAGCGGGAGGAGGAAGAGGAGCGGGAGGAAGGGGCGGTGCGCGGCGGGGATGGCGGCGCTGCGGGGCTGGGCGCTGGCGGCCGCGCTGGGCCCGGGCCGCCCCTACGCGGTCCTGCAGCGGCAGAACCTGGGTAAGCGGCGCGGGGCGCGGGGCGCGGGGCGCGGGGCGCGGCGCCGCTCACGGGCCCTCCCCGCAGTGCTGCTGGGCAGCGTCCTCAGCGCCCTGCTGCTCGCCATGCTGCTCATGGCCCTGTGCGTCTACAAGCCCCTGCGGCGGCGGTAGCTGCGCCCCGCGCGCGGCGGCACCCGGCACCGCGGCGGCACCGCGGCCACGGCGGCACCACGGCCACGGCGGCGGCACCCAGCACCGCGGCGGCACCACGGCCACGGCGGCAGGACCGCGACGACGATGGCAGGATGGCCATGACGATGGTGACGGCGTGCCGCCAGCAGCCCGGCGCCGAGGCCGGCGCCAGCATCCGTGTCGTCGCACCCGCGTCCCGCCGGGTTGGCATCGGCTGCCGCGGGGCCGGGCTCTGCGCCCCGGGAACTCGGCTCCCGGCTCGGCCGCGTTCCCGGCGGGAGCAGAGCCCGGCCCTGCCGCGCGGTGCCCCCGCGCCGGGATGCGGGTGCCCACGGGAGCGGCTGCCGTAACGCCCGGCTGGAGATCCCCCCGCATCCCGCTCCGAGCAGGTCTGGCCGCGTTCGACACCTCCCTGCGGGCCTGGGCTCCGGAGCGGGACACTGAGATCCAGGGAGCAGGAGCCTCCAGAGGGTCGGACAAGGCACTCCCGCCGGAGAGGCTGCTTTGGCCGAGCCCCGGGACCGTCGGTCTCGGCTCTCTGCAGGCGTTTAAGCTGAATCCAGGCCGTGCCGGGGCTATGAGTGTTTACACTGAGACCACACTTGCATATGGATGCTGCTATTTTTGTTTTATTTTTGTTTGCACTGCTACAATTAATAACTGGATTTTCCTTCTATGTGTTACTTTGATATTTAACATAGGGTGTTTTGGGGAGATAGTTATTTATTTTAGTGTTTTGAAGCTTTACTTCCAGAACCGTTAAGTCGTTACATTCTCTAAAACCTTATTGTTGCATCTTACACGTTTTCTGATTCAGTTTAAAGGATACTGACCTAGTGCTTTCATTTCCTGCTGTTATTTTAGTAAAATGAATTAGCTTTTTTTTTTGGGCTGGTTCCAAGTCCCATATCACTGACCTCATCCTTAATCCCATGCAAAATTCCCGCTCTGCCATGCGCTGGGCGGGAGGGGGAGCCGCTGTTAGGGCTGGAGGCCGCAGCTCCTGGCCGTCCCGCTCCTGCCTCCGTCCTCGCTCCCTCCTGGCTCTCTCTGTACAAATAAAAAGCTCCTGCCGCCATCCCGCCTCCCTGCTTCGTTTCTGGGCAGCCTGCTCCATCCTGAACGGGAAGCAGCCGCTTCCCAGCCTGGGATGGAGCTGTGGGATCCAAGGAAGGGTTGAGAAGGGCTGGGTAAGGGAACAGCGGGAGCAGGGGGGTCACAGAACCAGCTCCCGGGGATCCTTTGGGACACGGGGTTACCAAGGGGGCTCTGTGTTATGCCATGGATGTATATATAACCCTGTGCAGGTTATACAGAGGTTAACGTACATTATTCAGCTCGGAGCAGCGGCAGAGCCCAAAGAGCAGCAGAAGGGATGGATGGATGGAATAAGGGCAGTTTGTCCTGCCCGGCGAGACACACGCGTGCCGCCTTTGCAGGAGAGCTGAACAGAGCCGAGCCTTTCGGCACCGATTCCAACCACCGTCCCGAAGAAGCCTTTGGAAGAAGCCTTCCAACCACCGTCCCGAAGAAGGGCAGTGTAATAACACTGCTAAAATAACGCAGAAATGGAGGACAGACCGAGCACTTAGCCAGGCGCTGTCTTAAACGGGCCCCTGCGGGGCCGGCCGGAACGGGCTCAGGGGAAGCGGCTCCTGCAAGCGGCGACTGCCGGCGCAGGCGAAGCACCATTAACTCCGTCGCGTTTACGGACACGAGAGGTTTCGATTAGCAAGTCAGCCAAAAGCAGCACGCTAATAACGTCCAACTTCGACACAGCAGGAACTAATTTTGTTCACGGCTTAGCTACTTGATGTCACAGTTAAAGCACAAAGCAGGGCATAATTATTTACCCCTTCAGGGAAGGGAGAGCAGAGGGAAGCAGCACGGACCTTCTAAACATAAGAAATCCCTGATTCCCTCCACACACGCAACGCTCTCTAGCAATAAGCAACGTCACACAGATGCTTTTATAAAGGCAACAGCACTCTTTATTTCCGCTGAAGGAAAAAGCAACCCTCCCCACGTGCCAGCGTGTGCAGAGCTCAGGGCACGGCCAGCTCCCCTGCACGCAGCTGGGAAAGCCGCAGGAATTCTCCTGGCAGCGAGCGACCCCGAGCCCTGCGCGAGGCCGTGGCGTTGAGCACCCCCGCAGGGACCACGCCAGCTCTTTAGGGACGCTGGCCACAGCATCCCGGACGAAGATGGGGCACAGGTACCTGTTCTAGCGCATACCGAAGGAATTTTAGTTGTTTTATGGAAAACAATGGTTTAAAACTGTGTTCCAGGTTACCGACCATCTCGCTGGTTACGATCAAGTCTATTTTAGAGTGGTTTTACACTGGTTAACAGTTGGTCGCGGAGGAACGGCCCTGTTCTGCCCACGTAACAAGTGCAGGGTTAGAGAGCAGTATCAGACCACATGTACCATAGGTTCTTTACACTCCTGCCAGCCAGGATTAAAAAATATTGCTCACGTTTGACCGCAGTAAGGCTTTCCTGTGGATGGATGTTGTGTACTTGCGGAGTGCACTGCAGAGTCACAGCATAAATACTGTAAACACCGACAGAAGTGCAGACAAAACAGTTACAAATATATAGTCTGACTAAAGACCTGAGGAAAGCTGGTTAAAATATACTTCTGAATTGTTACAATACCCTTTTTTTTAATGAGTGTACTTGTATTGGCTTAAAATCAATAAAAAGATTCAGATAAAAAAATATATGTATTCACATGAAGGATGAACATTTGAATTTTAAAAAGCAATACACACATTTCCCTTTCAGATGACAATTATTAAAACTTATTTTCCGATAAGTGTACATTAAAATTCCACCTGATTTTTTGAGTTTAGCACCCACACGCACGCATGCACATACGCACACACAGCATCAGCTCAAGAAGCACCTGTACCCACCGGTTATTTTCTTGCTGCCCTCGACTATGTGAACTAGCTGGTTTTGAATCACTACAGAAACTGCTACTTTAATAGACAGATGGTCCCGTTTCAGGATCTAAGACGTTACTGGCTTGTTTTGTCCTTTTTCAGAAAGCACTAGTTTAATCTTGAGCTTGGATTAGCTGTTCAAGTATAAAATTATCCCTCTTAAGCATAAGCATGTGATAAAATCTTGGTAAGTAGAGAGGAAATATCCTTAGTTGTGTATAAATGAACCTAAAGAAAAATCTGTCAGCACGATACACTGTCAGCATGAAGGCTACTGTATGAATGTATGTATGTGTGTGTACATATCTAGGTAGGCAGCTATCCCTCCGGGTAAGAGCCGCGAGAGCACAGTCAATGGCTTGGAGTTATTCAGAAATGACTAAGCAGGTGACTATTTCTTTGGTAAGTAATGAAGAAGCTTCCCCCCAGACTACCCTCAGATGATGTTCTCAAACTTGACGGCAATCCTACATCCTGCTGCTAAGCACAATTCCATCTGCTCTCCCATAAATGCCTTTATGCCAAACCCTGCTCTCAAAGCTAAGCGTGCCTGGCAAGCCAGATGCAGGTCCCCGCGTTCCGAAACTCCCCTCACATTCCCGGAGTCTCTTCTTTGCAGATCACGCTCCAGCCCACAAAGCAAGGTGGAAAGCCACAGCAGAGGCTCTGACCCTCGTTTCATGCTAACGATGACAATTAAGAAGGCAGGCGAAATGTTTACTTCAGTAATCCCGGAGCAGTCCTCAGGCTGACGGCTACAAAAGCTTTCCGTGTCACACAGCTTTGGTCCTCCTCATTCCAGGAGACCTCTCCGGAGCTATTTTTCCAGCAGGGAGAGCCGCAGGGCTTGCTGCAGCTCGGCGTCCTCCTCCTCGCGCCGCTGGCGCTCCCGCTCCTCCTGCTCGCGCACGGAGAGCTCCATGGCCAGCTGCAGGTCCTGCTCGAAGCGCGAGGGCTCCCCGGGCGAGCTGCAGCGCGAGTCAGCCGAGCTCGCCAGGAAGCTCTCCTGCAGCGCCCTGCGGGCACAAAGGGCTCCAGGCAGCAGGGGCACCCACTCCAGGTCCCTCCTCATCCTCCCTAGAACTCAGCCCAGCTGCAAATGCGAGGCCCTCTCCCGAAGGGAGCAATTCAAGATGAGAGGGTTTTAACGGCCACAAAGTCCTCAAGATCAAACTGGTTGTTTGAAGATTCCTCAGAATATTTTATACAGGGTAAAACACTAACAGTTTTGTTTTCAGGGGGCTTCTAAAACAATTCTTTAGACCTCGTTTAAAGGTGCCATCATTCCCAAGTACACAAAGCACCAAAGAGACACAGTTGACAGCGAGCACAAACATTTCTTTGTGCTTAGCTACAGGACAACCCCCCCCAGGATATTCTCAAGGGTCTATTAAATATGCTGCCAAGTTTGTACCAATTAAATAATGATTCTGAAATTAAATAAGAGCTACCCTGAATTGTTCAGTACCTAATAAATATTAAACTTACAGGGACCAAAGTCACAGTTCTCAATTGTGCTTATTTTGTTGAGCAAAGAATCTCAGCTATGTGTCTTCCACTCCTACAGCTCAGCAAAAGGATCATGTTATATAAACCAGAGAGGCCTAATTTGAGGTTCTTATTTCTCGAAACAATAAAAACCTACAAGAACAACAGGAAAAGAGCCTCAAGTTCTGTGCAGCTACACCTGAACAGACATTTCTTTAAAAAGCAAGATTCATTCATGCTGCTGCTGGCAATACTTTTCACAGAATCACAGCATGGCTTGATATGGAAGAACAAAAAAGTGTTACCTCTGATACTGTAAATTGAAGTCCTGTGAATAGGCAATGGCTCCGTTGGAGTGCAATCCCATCTCCTAGAAATGCAGAGAGGGGAAAGATTCCACAGCAGGTAGCAGACTTGCAGTGCAACTCAGTCAAAGGAAACTCTTAAGTCACTCTCTCTCTTTCTTTTTTTCCTCCTTTTTTTCTTTTTTTAAATTTACCACTGTACTTTCTCCTCCTTTGAGCTAGTTAAGAGAAGTAGGTCCTACATAACTTTTTCCACGCATTGGTACAATTCAGAGGTGCAACTACCTCTCTGTAGTCCCTGCAAAACTGTAAGCTCTGCACTGAACGGATGGCACTTACTTTACTTCCACTGGATTCCAACAAACTCTGCTGAATCGCAAATTGCATAATCTCATTATCTTCATCCTGCACATGTATGTTCCTACCATCATCTTGGACATGGTAGGATTTAGGGATCTCAAACACTGACTGGTCAACCTCAAAAGTAGCACCTGTATAAACCAAATACAGTTACAAAGATGGCACAGTATATTTTTACAGTTGCCTTTAAAAAAAAATCTGATGGATATTTAAATTAATTCCCTCCCAAAGCTATGAACCACCTGGCTACAGAAACCCGGAGGCTCTGAAAGACCTGCCCAGCAACCAAGCACAGCAGTAGGGAAGGACACACATAGAGCACGATGCAGCCACTGCCCCTTCCCACCCGTTACCTGATGACTCGCACTGGGCACCTCCACTGATCTGTGATGCTGGTTTGTCAGCTGTCCTGCAGCTATTAACATTTTCAAACGTAATTCGGGCATTCAGCACGTGAAATAAGGGGATTTCTATAGGAAAGAGTACAAGATTTCTATAAAAAAAAAGAAGTCTGTCACTTCCACATCAAACCCATATGGGTTTACTGAATATTTCATAAACACCATCCCATAACCAGGAAGCAAAACACAATCCATGCCAAGAAGCTGCATGTGGTCAGTCTCTATTTCTAAGTCTTCTCAGATTTTAATGTAAGATTTTAATAATCTAAGACACTGGAGGCAGAAGAAAAAGAGATTAGCAAACAGCTAGATGTAACTGAAATGATATTATCTTTAAAATTGCATTACCCTGCTGGTCCTTCAGAACTAGGATTTAAGGATCCCCCGATACACACACAGCTTATATCTTCTGTGCTTGGTTCTCACTTCTAGAGCTAGTTAAGATGATGTTTACAAAAAGATTGAAAATTGAAAAAGAGGCTAACAAACTAATGTGTTGCAGGCACCAATAGAAAAGAAAATGTTGAAATAAAAAATGCTGAACATTACCAATTTTGACAGGAAATCCCGGGGGAAACTCCAAAGTGATGAAATCCTTAAGTCTGGCAAAATGAGCACTAGTTCTGGCCATCAGATCAATGATTGGAGTAACTTGTTCCATGAGAGACAGGGGAAACTCTTCACTCATCCACAAGGTTGCTTTAAATCTGTAAGAGCAAGTTGTATAAAAGCAATTTAACTGCACAGTTTTGGAAGAGATACACAGTAAGATACCTGGCATTGTCCCCTGCTTCATACAGCTCAAAAGAGACAGAAGAGTTATTGCACTCACAAATCAGACTGCAATCTGGTCAGAATAAAGACAAGCCATAAGAAGTTACACCTTTCAGTAGGTAAGCATAGGATTTCTAGAAGTTACAGCACCATTCCACCTGCTTTCGTTCACTCATGAGAAGAACTAGAGGATGGCTGAATAGCTCAAGAAAATTCCATTATTTTTTAGAAAAGGGTGCAAGGAGATCATCAGATATTTGGACAAAATTGTATTCTAAATATTAGATGACTGAGAAAATTTTCACACACTAAAACAGGAAAGAGTTAAAAGCATTTCTCACTTCTGTGTTCTAATGGTGACTTCTTTCGGTCTTCCTATGTCTCTCTCTTTCAAGTCAAATTCTGGGTCAAAATACTCCTCCAGAGTAATAGCAGTAGGATTGTTAATTGTTGCATACTCTGTTGTTAGATCCTACAAGGGAAAAAAAGAAAAGTACAGAATGAATAGGCAGCAGCTACTACACAAAATGAAGTTTCCTCTTGGAAGTAACTCCTCTACTTTAGTCATCAGGGATATGTAAACACACACACTTGCACTGACAATTGCAGTCAGATTTACCAAGTACTTTCCACAGCAGTTAAAAACCTTCAAGCATTTCAAGGACAACAGAATCTACCTAAAAGCTAACTTATGATGTGCCAATTAAAGACTTCAAAGGCAGAAATTGTTCAGAAACACACCAGCTACAGCACTGTTAGGCTCCCAACCCTTTACAAAAGGCAAACTCTGAGGGGGTATTTTTAACCCAAAGCTCTAGATCCACGTTAACATCTGCACTGCTATCTTGATATAAAGCCAGATGTTTGCAAGCCTTAGACACCAGGCAGCCTCCTCTGAAGCAATACTGCAATCATCAGCAACACGTATTTCACAGCCATCAAGGGCTGAACTTTTCTGGGTTGCAGGAGAGCAGCCCGCTATCGAGCCGTTTCTCTGATGATCACTACAGCATCTCCCAGCCAAGGCTTCTGTCGGGCTGAGCCTCTTTGCCTGTGGATATTTCTGCTCAAATTACGCTTGGTTGCCGCCAAGGACTGTGCTTGTTCAGATTTATCACCACTGCTAAGGCCCAGCTCTCGCTTTGCTAATGCATTCTGCGCCCTTCTCTGGGGAACCTTCTGAAGCAGCAACTTCTCATGAAGGAACAGTGGAGGGTTAAAACCAAGCAAAAATCTCCTTAGGGAAAATTTAAGCCTCAATAGAGAAATTGCTGAACTGGAGAACAGTTCAAACACACATCTTCTATCCACACGGATGTCTACACTGCAGTGACCCGTTATGAAAACGGCAAAGACGCTCACCTGAGCACCATACTCATGCTCCACTGTACCCAGAAAGGATTCTAGGGGATTCCTGTCAGCTTCAGACAAATAGGAGAAAAAGAGATGTTGTTATTATTATTGAACAGCACTACAATTCATGTAGATACCAGTTAACAAGCAAGGCTGCTAACCCAAAGTAAAGGAGACAGCTCACATTCAGAGGAAAATCCAAGTTTCCCATAAGCTTTGTCAAAAAAGACCAAGATCAAAAGGTGACAGATCAAAAGCGGTATAAGAAACAGAACAGGAAAAGGTTTGCAATGGTTTCCATCATCAAGTAACTTTAGTTTTTCACAGTGCCTCCCTCCTGGACACTAAGGTAAATCAATGAAGGGCAAGTTACCATGCAATGTTACTGTCTGATCTGCTTTTTAATCCAATTTAAATACTACAAAAAGTTAGGGAATTAAAGCCAAACAAAAAGCCCAAAACAAAGAAAACCCACATGAATCTTGCGGTCATAGCTAAAATGAAGTAAAGGCACAGAAACATTCAAAAACAGGAAACAGATCCTGAAAACATGGAAAGTAGTGCAGACTTCTAAAGCTTTCAATAGCTTTGAGGATTTTTTCCCCCCATCCAGGTACAGCTAGGATAAATAGTGGCCCTTAAATATGATAGGAGTCATGCAATGAGCCACCTCAGTCACAAAATGCAAAGCTAAAGCAGGACAAGATCAGCGAGCCGAGTATTCCACTTAATCTGCCTCGTACTTCTGCAGCTACACAGAGAAGGTGATCAGAGAGGTTCTATCTCATTCCATCTAGCCTCTAGGAAAATTACCCTTATATCTTTTCTTTTCCTCTTCCGTTAAATGCTCTGTTCGGATTCTGGTAACTACATTCACGTTGTTTGCAGTGTACACCTAAAGAAAGGGGGGAAAAAAAAAAGGTACACCACCGGTTAAATACAGCCTTCTCTTCAGAGAAGAATCACAAACACATCTAAATACAGGATTAAGACGAGCCGATCTCCTTCTTATGCCAAATGTCTCGAACACAATGGTGATCAGCAGGAAACACTGCACTTCAGTGTTCCTTCTATTCCCTTGGAAGCACGGGGAAGGCTGGGCAGTATTTTCTAGAGAGCCCCATGCGGAGGCTGACACTGCACAGCCACCTGCTGGACAAAGGGGGGAAAAAAGGAAACTACAAATCACATGGCAACGAATCTCTAGAAAACATCAATTTTTCAAGCATCTTACAGCAAGAAAAAAAAAAAAACAAAAGGAGTTGGGCCATTGATTTCAATGGCAAGAATTTAGCTTTTCAGCTTGTTGGGAAGTCAGTTTGTGCATTTTTAAATAGATTTTTGTTTTCCTTCAATCCAAGCTAATTTCAGAACTTGATGAGCATTTCCTTTGTTACTGAAAAGACTCCCCACCTAGGCAGAGATTTTATGAGAGGATGGGGAAGATGAGTCAGACTACGCTATTCCTAAACAAAAGGTCTTGCAAATTTCCTGGGGAGTTTGCTTATAAAGGAACATGAATGAACTCCTGTATCCATCAGTCTAATGAAAAAACCTTCATATAAATCCATGGAGCTGTTCAGCATTATCTATAGTGTTAAACAAAGCAAAACAAAAAAAAAAAGTGCTGAATTCTTGAAGTTCCTCACTCCTGCCCAGTTTTACTAGCAAAATGAGAAAGCTCCAAGGGGAAAGTTTAGAACACAAAACCCCCAGGAAATAAAGGCATAACATGATCACACTTCTGTTAACTGTAAGAGTTCTTAGTTGTACAGAAGAGGTTTTACCTTTGCTTCATAACCATTCACACCTTCTGCCTTCTCTGTCCTCCATACCCAGAATCCAGACGTGGTTCTGACAAAAAGTGAATACCACAAGTGTCTGTGCAGTTGCATTTCTACCCAGTCCTCAGCCCATTTTCTCTAAAGAAAACCCTTGAGCAAACAAGAACTTATTTGATTAGCAATGCCAGACAAAAGCAGAAAACAATCTCTCCTCAGAGACACATGCCAAGAGGAGGCTGAGGAGACCATGCTCCTTCCCTTCTTATTTAGCTTATACACACAGCAAAGAGGCCCACAGAGAGTTCAGGCTGGGAGCCACAAGCCTGAGCCACAGAGAAAGAGAACCTAAAACTTACCCAATTATTTTGTCTAACAGTCATAATTTTGTAGCCTGTTTCTTAGGATAAATTTACCTTTCAAAAGCAATATTTTTTGTATCAAGGCACGTATTAATAATTGGAGACGTAAGGCGTCTTTCTACATCTTTTCTTTTTGGTGTCATAGATCCCAAGGTCAGACGCTTCATGTGTTGGGAAATCTCAAAACGTTCCGTTGTAACAAATTTGTCATCATGATTGATCTCGATTAGCTCCGCCCAGCCACCGGTATCTGTTAGAACGATATATCTCATCAGGTGCAAACTTGCCAGTAGTATTTGAGAAGGAAAAAGTGAACAGGGTATATGCACTCTACATGAAAATGAGGCTGGAAGTTAATTCAGAGTATTTTGTAGTTACACTGGATAGTTTTTAGATACATCTCCAAATCAGGTTGTCGGTTTTTTCTTTTGATTTTGGAAGAGGGGAAAAGGGAAGTCTGTAGCTGTACTCCCATATTTTATCCCCCAAAGGCAAAAAAATATCAGGCTCCTACATTAAACTCCAAAATAATGACTCCACAGATCATGAAAGACGCACAGAAAGCTTTTGTTGAATATACATGTTCTCAACACGTCTTTTCCAGTAGAACTGGCATTTCTCACTGTGGCTCACTATGCATTTGGTGATGGATGATTCAGACGTGCCAAAATATTTACCTTCTCCCTTGAAAATTAAACTGCGTCTTCCTCTCTCCCAGCTCATATTTTCAAAGCCCAGTAAGGTGATATCCACCCGCAGCTTGGCACCACTCTTCCAGATGCGGCACACATCACTTGGACACACTCTAGACACAAGTGGGACTATAAAAGAAAAGTAGAAAATATTTTGAGATTAAGTGTGCAGCAAGTCTGAACTCAAACAAAAGTTATTTTCCCAATACAGGAATTTGCTTAATGACATACTCCAAACATTATTCCAAAGGAGTGAAGAACGATGAACTTAAGGAAAAGAAACACTGCTATTAATTTAAGGAAAAGAAAAACCTTCAGCAACTCTGATAACGGCCGCAGTTTCCATTAAAAGAAAATAACATTTTATACAATTGAAAGATAAGTTAAATCAAGCTCTGAATATTGAGAGCACATATATACACACACACACACACTAGAGGCAAGCAAGGAAGATTCCAACAAACATATCTCTCCACACATACTTTGGCACAGAGAAATCTGTCTACAATTTAGAAGAGGTGACAATGATCAAGATACTTACCCCAGCTAGTAAATTCCCATTTCATTTCCACATAAAAGTCAGGAGTCTGGAAGAAGAAAACAAATAGTTCTAACCATAGCAAACCTGAAGACATGAACCTTAAAAAAAATGAAATTGAAACCAGGAGATAAAAAAGACATTCGCCTACTGCAGCTGCTTTTTACTGATCTATTCACTTTTTTTTCTCCTCTTACTACAGAAGCAGTAACAGCTTCAATTCAGCCTCTAATGCTGGAGTTCATAACCAACCATTCCAAACAGTGAAGGAAACAAACTCTGACTACTGGGCATACAAACTGAAGAACAAAAATCACACAAATTCAGATCAGCTGGGTTCTAATCTCTGCTCATCTGGTTTCCATTTACTTAAGCTAACTACTTTGAGCTTCTTGTTCCAGTCTGTAATTCTGATTCAACTAAATAACTACCTCGTTAATCTTTTGGAGTAACTCAGGGACTCCTCCAAGTGTCATAGATGTTTGCTGGTAGTCCCGATGCTGCAAAATCATGTGCACCATCTCTGGATCTCCTGTACTGACAGCCTCATGCAAAACTGAAAGAAATCAAGACACAAGCTGGTTTCAGTTTGCTTTTCAACAAAACACATGAAAAAAAAATATATATATATAAAATCAAAAATACAACATTTACAATTGAAAAACATTTTAACCTAGAGCTTACTTTTTCCAAGCTCTCTTTACCTGTCCATCCCTGCGCGTTTTCTTTGGTTACATCTGCCTTGTGTTGAAGAAGCACTTTGGCAGATTCTATATAACCCAAGGAAACAGCAAGGTGCAACAAGGTCCGGCCTCGCGGATCACGTTGATCAACATCCTGTTGAGTACCCAAGACAGAAATAAAACTACAGTTGATCTATTAAATGCAATTAATTGGAGCGCCCTGAGGACAGGTCATTGAAACAAAGCTTGCCACTAATAATAGAAAAGGAGTCAGTATTCCCATATAGGTTTGTGACAGCTCGGCAGCTCAGCTTTCATTAGCGCTGCTGTGCAGCCCTTCTGCACTCCTTACTGCCCACCTGAAATAAAAGTGAAGCAGAACAGGGCCCATAAGTCTAACAGGATGAGAACTGACATCATTGTAAAACGTTAAAGGAAGAGAAAGGAGAAGCATCAACAAGAGCTCAGACGCTATTTCCCCTTCTGCCTCCCTCTGTCTCATTTGGAAGACTGCATTCTATTCTTTGAATTCTGCACCATGATAATCAAGAGCCTGAGAGATCACTGGAGGGTAGAACGGTATGATAGGGCACATTAAAATCAAGAAGGAAAAAAAGAAAAGAGAAAAAAGAAACAGCAACAGGCCATTAAACTCTCTTTTCATATATGGAAGCAAATGGTAATTTACAAAGCATCCGTTTGACTGACACACACACACACACAGCGCAACGAGGAGTGAGTGCATTAAACAAGCCATAAAAAAAAAGGAAAAAAAAAGAAAAAGAAAAAACAACTACACTACACAGGCGTAAATATCCAAAACATGCAAGCACAACATACTCATACCTTACATATTTTTCACTATTAGCTTAGAGATTTGAAACAGAAGAGCATCTATAACTAAAGGAAAAGGGGAAAGTCAATAGCAGAATAAGAAAGGAAAGTTATTATGCAAGTTAACCTGGTTATCAGATAGCATCAGGTTTGACAGATCATACACACAGTTGGGAAAGCTTCCTTGAAAGTATTCTCTTTTCATTTCTGTGGTCAAATACTCATTAATTTATTTCCCCACGTCCTGCAGCTCCAATGTCTGCCACACTGACAGGGAATGCACTCTTCAAAAAATAAATCCTTCCCACTTCTCTTTGCTGCTGTTACAGGTAGCACACGTTCTGCTCAGCCTTTGGCACAGCAAGCGCGGCTGGCAAGTTCCTTCGGGTTCTCTACCTCACCCCTTCAAAAGCGAGGAGCTTATCCCAAGGAAGCAGGAGGAAGTGTATCTTTGGAATACTTTTAAGTAACTTGTCTTTTTTTTAATATATATAATTCGACAAAGGAAGCGAGAGACATATTCCATCTCATAATGTTGCTTATTTCCCTATAGCGTGAGACTTTTTGAGGTAAGAAGCAACACTTCAGTGATGTAGGTGCTAACCAAACCATGGCCTTAGACTAGCAAAAAGCAAAATTTTCCCCGCTTAAGCAGTTTTTCAGGGATGAGAACATTACTGAAATAGAAATAAGTGCAAGAACAGCATGTCATTAAAATTAGGGCTGTAAGCAGGGCGTCAGATTACACGAATGTGCCAACTAGCAGCTGCATTCCAAGGATGCACGTGCAGGGAAGCGGGGCGCGCTCCAAGCAAGCGGCGGCGCCGGGCTGCACGGAGGAGCAGCGCTGACCCGGGAGCAGCGCCCGGGCCGCGGCGCCGCAACCCGCTCCGCCGCCGCCACAAACGCCCGCCCATTCCTTACAGGGCTGCCTTTGTGCTTTTCTACTCCACAGCATCAAACAATGGCCCCTTCTTTAAATGGAGATGCTGAAAATATTCCAGCGAGTGTAAAACTGCTGCCCCTGCAGTGCTGGGCAGCAAGACAGCCATAGGACCTGGCAAGACAGAGGCCAGTTTCAGCCTTGGCAGCAGCTGCCACCTTTGCTGTATGCTCAATTCCCTCTAAGGTAAGCGGCATTTAGTGCTCTTCTGGCACAGAAAACTTTAACATCCAATTGTATTTGATCTTTCTGATCTTTCAGTCAGTCTGGATATCTCCTATAGAGCTATTATGGAAAAGGCACTTGAACTTGAGTGCTGTTTTACAGATAAGAACTCAAAGTCTAAGAAAGAGCTTAGATAACAAAAAGGGCATCTCTGTGTCTTCTCAGAGCACTCCCTCAAGCCCGGTCAGGTGGCTAGGGAAGAGGACAGGTATCCTATGGGCAGCTGTGGATGCAGGGGCCCTTCTCCCCACACGGGTGGCGGGCTGGGCCCTGTGGCCCCTGGGGGCTGCGGGGTCCGGGCGCTGCGGTACCTGGTCTCGCAGCTCCTCGTCCAGCCGCCTGTAGTCATTGTTCCAGACCAGGACGTGCAGGGGAAAGCGGCCGCTGGCCCTGCAAGGGGAGCTCATCACGGCCCGGACGGAGCGGCCCCCCGCTCACCCGCCACCTTTACGGGCAGCCCCAGACGCCCTGGGGAGCCGCAAACTCCCACGCTCCGGATCCCCATCTCCTCCAGGGGCAGGGGGGTCCCCCACACATCCCGCCCCGGGCCACGACACCCTGCAGAGCCCCCACCCCAGCCCCACACATCTAGGGCTCCCCAGGGCAGCCCCGCGCGCCTAGCGCTCCCCCTCAGCCCCGCTGCCCCCCAACTCAGCCGCGGGCCGCCCCTGCCCCCTTCAGCCCCCCACGTCCAGGGCCGCCCCCCTCACGCCTGGGGCTGTTTTCCCGCGCTCACCCCCCATGTCCACCTCCCGTCCCCCCCCCCGCGGCCTCACCCCCGCCCCGCCTCTCGTCCGTCCTTCCCCTCCAGGGCAGCGGCCGGCGCGGGAGGGGGGCTCCCCCTCGGCTCCCCGGGCTCCGCCGCCACCGGCGCGCTCAGCGGAAGAGGAAGGGGCCGCTCCTCCCCCGAGCCGGGCGGGCAGGTGGAGCGGCCCGCCCGCCCGTCCCGTCGCCCTCCGCGCTGTGGGCGCCAGGCACCATCTTGCGTGAGGGCGGGTTCACAGCCGCCATGTCGGGTGAGGGCATGAGAGAGTAACCCCTTCCGCTACTCCTGCCCTAGGAGGGCTCGGTGACCGCGCTTTTAACACCTCGCCTTTTCACCTGGTGCTTCGCCTGTGCTTGTCATAAGCTCTCTGCGCGGGCGCAGCGAGCGATATAGGGTTATTTACAACACCTGCCAGGAGTAATCATGGCTGGCAGCGCCGCCCGCGCGCAGCTTCATCCTACCATCTCCCGCCTTTACGCCCGGAGCGAAGATGGCGGAGCGGGCGGGGCCGCCGCGCGCCTGCGCGCTCGGGCCGGCCGCCTGGCGGGGCCGCTGCGGGGCCCCGTCGGAGCGGCAGGAAGCGCCGTGCGCCGCCGCCGGCCATGTCGAAGCGGCTGCGGAGCAGCGAGGTCTGCGCGGACTGCAGCGCGCAGGGTGGGTACGGCGCGCGGGAGGGGCCCGGCCCCGCGCTCGGCGGGCAGGCGGCGGCGGGGGGGCCGCGGGGCCGCCGTGTCCCCCGCCCCCGGCTCCTGTCAGCGCGGCCGGGGGCTCCGCGCGCCCCTCGGGCCGGCCCCGCGCGCCGGGAAGGGGCTTGTGCAGCCCTCGGGAGGAGCGGCCGCGTTTTTGAAGCCAGCTCTGTCTCCTTCTCTCATCTTCTGTAGTTCCGTTCCTGTGTTTTAAACTGCCCGTTACCCGCCCCCCCTCCTTTTCGTAAAGGGCTTTCCGGTGTTTGTTGCCGTCTCCCGTACGTGAGCGTTGTTATCTTTATTATTTATGCCTTGCACCGGTTCCTTCAATTGCTTATGTGCAAGCTAAGATGAATTAAACTTTGCCTCCAGTGCAGGTAACGTTTGGACAGTGAGAGGGATGTGACGTGGAGGAGGACAGGGGCAGCTTAAAAACCCTCCAAGCATATTGGTGTTCCTTTTCTTTTCTTTTTTTTTTTCTTTTCTCTTCCCCTGGTCTTCTGAGTTTGTTTTCATCATGGATATTACAGCTTTGCTTCGTTGTGTTCCCATTTGTTGGCCGTGGCGAATTCCTCGCTGGAGTCTTCGTGGTGCGAAGCGCTCTCGGGGCAACCTTGTGAGCCCGGCCACCTTTATTTCGTATCTTTACGATATGCAGTACTGCAAGACGCTTACCTGCCCTTGGTGAAAAATCTGCTGGGCTTTTCATATAGATGAAGGGAGTCTTGACTGAACTCTCTCCTAAGGGAAAAAATCTACAAAAAAAGCCCCTCAGCAAAGGGTCCCTTTGCTGCAGGCAGGCGGCAGGTGCCAGGACGGGACCCGGGGACCCCGAGCTCTCGACCCGGGGACCCCGAGCTCTCGACCCGGGCCAGCTGCAGCGCTTGGCGCCCGTGGGAGCCCGCTCAGCACCCCCAGCCGGGCGCGAACCCTTCGGCAGGGCGATTCCCGCGCGCGCCTCGGGTGCGAAGCCTTCAGCGAGGTGATTCCCGTGCGCCCCTGAACCCGTTTCCTACCCCAGGCCCGCGGTCGCTCTGTGAGCGCTTGTCTTGATCGCACGCTTCCTGTTTCGAATCGCCCCGCCGTGCCCCGGCGCTCGCGTTAACCTCCAGCTCCTCCGCTGGTGCTTCTTGATACCAGCTTAAGCTTGTTTTGATCGTACCTGTGACTGGCTTTCCTTAAAACCATCCCGATAAACTGGTGGAGGCTCCAGCACAGGCGCTTTAAGTTTAAACACAATTATTGATTTTTGCCATAGCCTGGCAGCTCTTTGTCTCAGGGCTAACACCGTGTTCCTTTCCCATCCCTGCCTGTAACTTGAACACAGATAACCCCTACCTGGCTTACTTAGTACAACTTGATTCAAGAGCCCACGAATCTTTGTACAATTTAATTTAAGAAACAAAAAAACCCGCAAATTAATTAAGCCAGCATCTCGCTCTTCCTTTGACCAGTTTATTCTCTAATGTGTGTACGTGGTCAAATCTGCTATCTTCATCATCTTTCAGGCCTCCTGAGATGTTAATACAGCCTCTTTCTGCTCTCCCTAGTACTTGGTTACAGCTAAGAGCTGTTTTTACTGTTTCTTTTATTTTTTGCATGATACAGTCTTTTAATGCTATTGGTTTTTGACAGATTCAGCACAAACATCTGGACTTGTTTATCTGCTTTAAGTAGATTGTGCACCCCAAAATTACAAGCAAGGCCTCTGCCCTTTTCATCAGGGGAGACTTGAAGCCCTATTTCTGCTGTGAAATGGCCTTGACTTTATCGAGGCTAAGTTGCAATCACCGGAATTAAGTTTTGGTTAAGTTTTGAGGCAGATGTAAAGGAAAAAGTCGTGATAATGGCTGTTAGGTGGAACAGGAGTAGGATTCAGCAGCAGCCTGATGCTGCAAAGAGTGAAACAAGAAGCTGGGTGTCTTTCAGAGAGTGCCGTGGCGTGGGCGCGTGGCGAGGCTGCCTGTGCGCGGCGGGGCTCCGCGCGCCCCTCAGGAGGGTTGCCGCAGCCTTTGGCTCTTAGGTGGCAGTTGCTGTGTCCCATTTCACTTGTTTTTTCTTTCTAAGAAGTCAAAGTTGTTAAAATAATGCAATGATTTAATAAGGAGGTTTTGTGTTTTTTATTGCTTTGTTTTTTAATATAGATTGCACGTTTTCCCCAAATGTACACTTTAATCTGTCTCCAGGCTGTGTGATAGTTATCAGCTGTGAACAGAGACTCCCTTCCCTTATGGGCCATGATTGGAACAAGTTTGCCTGGGTTGCCTTCAGCACACACATAGCACGAGCTCTGCTAGAAAACCACAGCAATGATCGGAGACTGTGTGTTTATTGCAGAATATATTGCAGCTTTTTTAATGATGTGCAATTGTGCAGATGTATTCTGAGATGATGTACAAGATCTCTCATTAGATACTTGGCTTGTGTCTCACTCATTTCTTACTTTTTTTTACTCTTGCACTTGTTAATTTTTAGCGTCGGCCTTATCTCTGGATTTGGTGTTAGGGAGAATTTTCCAAATTGGGAGAGATTTAGATCCTTTTCCTGTCTCCCAGGATATGCTGGACCTTAGAGAGCTGTCTTGCTTCTCAGAGTGTGGCTATTGCAGGGTCCTGGGCACATTTAGTCCTTTTTCAGTGACAGAAGGCTGGAATTCCTTGTCCTGGGGACAGAGCTGAAGGCAGGGGAGGAACCTCAGCTTAGTGTCCTGTTTTGCACTTGCTCAGTTGCAGTTTGATGTAGTGTACCTCTTTTTTTACTCTAGTTTTTGGCATTTGAAGTTATATAGTAGCTAGTATCCATTATTGACTGTCTTACTACTAGTATTACCTTCCATCAGTTGTCATGTTGCCTTGTCTATAGATGGTTTCATTTTCACTGCAGCTGCCTGGGAGAAAGACTACCTTTCAGCGAAAATACAGGATCCATTTGGAGTTGATCAAGTTAATTTGTTGACAAATTGTGATTTTTACTGGATCTTTAACTTGACATATAGATATGTTGTTCTTTTCTTTCCTAAGAAACTCTTGTGCGCTGTTTTCATTTTCATCTTTATTTTTTTTAAACATGTTTCCAGATCCTTGTTGGGCATCTATAAACAGGGGAATTCTGATCTGTGATGAGTGCTGCAGTGTTCATCGAAGCTTGGGGCGTCATATCTCTCAAGTGAGACATCTCAAGCATACACCATGGCCACCAACATTGCTGCAGGTACAGAGTAAATGTTCGTCTTCCCTCATTAAGGCTCTTTATTTGGAGCATGGTAATCCTTTTAATATTTTTTTAAGTTAGTTTCCTTTTATTTCTCTTGTTTCGCCATAGTACATCACCAGGACCAGAACTGTTTGCACATTTTTAGTTTGATACCTTTGATATGGAAGATGAACTTCAATTTGCTTGTCAGACTTCTGCAATGCGTCTGCTTCAACATAAATTCTCAAAATATAACACAACATAAATTTTCATTATATAGTAATAGAGCTATTCTTTTAGCAGAACTGCTATTGCTGAAGAGTAGAGATTTTAAAGAGCTTCCTAGGACGTTGCCCCTAATAACGTGCCAGGTTCTGATATCCCACTAGGTGATGAATATTGGCACACGGAACATGAATCCGCTTGTGTCTGCTTGCTGTCCGCTTGGAAATTACAGCTACTTGGGAAGTCCATCTGTGCAGCCAGCAGTTCTTCACTGCCTGTTTTGGGTTTCAGATGGTTGAAACGCTGTACAATAATGGTGCTAACTCTATATGGGAACATTCCTTGCTGGACCCTGCATCTGTTATGAGTGGAAGGCGCAAAGCTAACCCACAGGATAAAGTACAGTAAGTGGAAAATTTACAGAGTTTTTTTTACCGTAGAACATGCAAGTTCAAGCAAACTATAACTAATAGAACTGAATCAGTTACTGGTTTGTGTGTTTGTTTTATATCTCTGTTTATGAGTATATACATATATTTTTTGCTGAATAGATTTATGAAATGTGTCTGATTTGGTTGGAACACTAAATTCAGTGGGTTTGGATATAGTTTTTCTTGATGCTCTTGTCTATCAGATGCTAGGGACAGTAGACACCATCCACTTGTCTCTAGTTTCATTCAGAGACTAGAGAAGGAAAATAGGGCTACATGTTCTTTTGATTCCTGATTAGCTTCTCAGTTGTACACTGAATAATGAAATTAGCTAAGTAGCTAATATTAGCTAAAATGCTATTTCTGGGTACTTAAGTCTTCAGCAGTGTACATACAGCTTCATTTTAACATGTATATAATTGAATGTAGTAACCATAGACCTAAAGTTGTCATTATTTTAAATTCAGAGTTTACTTCTGAGAAAAATAAAGTGTGTCCTAGAGTCTACAGCTATTTTGTCATTTAATGAAGATAAAGTATGCTAAGGACAGTTATAAAAACTGCTTCTAGTCACCTTTTTAATGAAAACATTTCTCAAAATTTGCTGCTAGTAACAGGCAAAAATCTAATGCAATGTTTGTTTTCTCTAGGAAAAAAATGACATATGTATTAAAATTTTGAAATAAACAATCCTCATTTTCTTTCGTCTTTGTTGCTTTTCTTCCCCTTTACAGTCCCAACAAAGCGGAATTCATAAGAGCTAAGTACCAGATGTTAGCATTTGTTCATCGCTTGCCGTGTCGTGATGATGACAGTGTTACTGCCAAAGATCTTAGTAAGGTAACCCTTTGTTTTATTTTTCCTTGCAGTCTGCGGAGGCTAATCAAATTTATTGGTTTTTGACTTAGCAGTGAGATAAATATTGTTGCTCTTCTGCACTGTTATGTAAACAGACAACAGCTCAATTTCAACCCGAAGTAGCTTTCTCTGCAATAGTATGCATGGTTACTGGGTGGCTGAGAGCCATAGACTGAACGTTAACTTGGGGGAAAAGTCTGGCACAAAAGGAGATAGTGAGAATTCTTTTATACCTGTTTCTAAAAGCATACTTGAAAAAAAAAAAAAAGCTGAATCAAAGTTATTGCCATTGTATCAAGTGCCATCCTGCTTGTTTTGCAGCAACTGCATTCCAGCGTAAGGACAGGGAATCTGGAGACATGTTTGCGGTTACTGTCCTTAGGAGCTCAAGCCAACTTCTTTCATCCTGTAAGAATGCTTTTTCCCCCCCCATTATTTTACTAGATAAAGTCTTGCAATTTTTAATATTTATATTAGTTTCATATTGTATTCAATACATATTGTATTTCAATCCTATGTTCAGATCTATTGGTTATTTAGAATCATGTGGGGTGTTTTTTTTTTGTGAATATTTTGTAGGAGAAAGGAAATACCCCTCTCCACGTTGCTGCTAAGGCAGGACAGATTTTACAAGCAGAGTTATTAGCAGTTTATGGTGCTGATCCAGGGACGCAAGATTCCAATGGAAAAACTCCAGTTGACTATGCAAGGTAGAGAGCTGTGACATCTGTAGTATTTTTATATACTAACTCATGTTCATAAATTACCTAGCGAACCTCCTTAGTTTTGTTTTTCAGTCTTGATACTAATTTAACTAATTTAAGCTTTTCATTTTTTTCAAAGCGAATAATAAATGTCACTCTTTTCCTGTGTATTTCTAACAGACAAGGTGGGCATCACGAATTGGCAGACCGCCTGGTGGAAATTCAGTATGAGCTCACGGACAGGTTAGCTTTCTATCTCTGTGGCAGGAAACCAGGTAAGTTAACACAAAAAACTGCACCCAGAGGTCTGTCTTTCAGTGTTAATTAAAGAGCAGTTCAAGCTGTAGTACATTACATCAATGGCAAAAATATTCTTACTGTTTTTATATCCATTTGAAATATTCTAACATTATATAAATTAAACATGAAATCCTAAAACTTAAATTAGTGATGTAATGCATTTAAAGTTCAAATAAAATTGTTGAATTTAAGTAGCTCTGAATTAAAAAATAGGTTTCTTTAGTTTTCCAAAAATAAAAAGTATTTTCTGTAAATAGAAAACTTCTGAAGGCAAGTAGAAACCTACTCTTAAGCTGAGTATGGTTTAACTTAAGAATGAACGGCGAGGAAAATAAGTGTGTAAAAGATGAATATTCTACAGAAAACACTGTTGAAATATTTAATTAGTCTCACTGAGATGCAAAAGGAAGCAGATACTCGATTAAGTTGAAGTGTAGTATGTACTTCTTGAACATAAGTACATTTTGAAAATCTTAGCCATAAAGGGCTATAAAGTACTTAAATAAGAACATGAGTTTTATGGTGTTGGGGTGTGTAGATCTTACACCTACTGTATATCCTGACAACATTGAAAACTGTATTAAAGTATAATTTATTTTCAACTCTAGAGCATAAAAATGGACAGCACTTCATTATACCTCAGATGGCAGACAGGTAAGATGTTGATTGCATAACATATATCAAAACATCAAAATAAATGAATAAAAAAGATCTAGTAATAAAGCTTACTTTACCATAAGCTTCATAGCTATTACAGCAAGTAATTTTATCCTGTTATCAAGTTTGTTTTTTTTTTCCTCCAGAATAGCATATTAGAATTTAAGTCAGAAAAATAGAAAGTTTACTGTATGTGATTTAAAAAGAAAACACACAGGGAAGATGAGACACTTATATGAAAGCCCATGGGAATTTCTGGGAAACAAACTTTGTAAATAACATAAGAATCTCCCAAATTAGTGTCTTGATACAGTATTTCAGAACTTATACTTGCAAGATAGTTGCATTTTTTTCTTAAAATACTTGTACTTTTGGTCTTCCAAGTATTCATATGTTTTGGTCATGGTTAGTGAAACTGCCTTTGTATAAAAAACACCAAGTATTAATAAATCCTAAGTCCTTGTTTTTCTTTTATTGCTATGCAATTGGAAATAAGGCGGCTGTAAGTAAATTATGTTCAACTCATTTGCAATTTTCTAATGAAAAAAACTGTAATCACAATGAAAAATTGTGGAGGGAAGATATGTTGGTAGAATGCTGCTTAGTGGTGATGTATATAATTTTTAGTTTGTGTGTAGCTATTGAATAGAATGCATTATATTTTAATTGCAAAGCATTTTGCAGAGCAAGTATAGTCTGCCTCATTGAACAGAGAAGAAAGCTGAGGCACAAGGAAAATCATTTGTTCAAAGATGCTCCTCAAGTTGCAGAGTCTGCAGTATAATGTGAGAGTCTCACCTCTGCCTGCTCTTATCTCAACTATCTCTTTTTTCTTGTCTAGATGACTGCTTACACCAAATAAAATCATATAAGTATAATAAATATAGATTAAATTAAGGAGTATCAAGGAAAAGTGAACTCTTCTAATCATTACATGCAAAGCTGTTTGTAGAATTCGTGTTTAGCAAGCTTTCCAGTGCTGTAGATACAATGATCACGTTGTTGTTTTCATAGCAGTCTCGATTTATCAGAACTCGCAAAAGCAGCTAAGAAAAAGCTTCAGTCCGTAAGTAAAACTTCCAGTGTGTGCTGTGCAATGTGTTTTTCTCTGACATGGCAAACTCTGTGCTTCATCTCTCAAGCCTATTCTGGCTTCTTATTAAGTACTGCATATGTAAATGGCGCTTTTGTAGCTAGAAATTTTAATCTGGGGAAAGACATGAAAATAAACTGAAATGGGGGAGAGAGGAAGGTAACAGATCCATGGCGGAGAGGAAATATTTGTTGGCCTTGTTTGGGGTCATAGTAACTTGGTCTATATTTCAAAACCTTTAATCTTGTAATTTGTCTTGCTCTTTTGCATATTTTAAAATAATTTATATGTTAAATGTCATTATCAGTTTTTCACTTTCTGGGATGGCAGAGTAGTGAGCCACAGAATGCTGTTTGGTTTATAGTAATGCCAGTTCGCAGGCGTTCTTAAGGTGTTTTGACTAAATTTTTATGCAAGTTAGGATGGGAGGTGTTTTCACACACAACTTTTGAGCATGTCTGCTCTCTTCTGGCTATTTTAGTCTACCTAGTTCATTTCTTAGGCTGCATAGCAAAGCTATACATTAAGCAAAGTTATGCACTGACATTTTTGATTATATAGAGGTCTTATTGGGTTTGATTTATTTTCCAGCTGTAATTATTATTCTTCTATTCTTAGCTAAGCAACCACTTATTTGAAGAACTTGCCATGGATGTGTATGATGAAGTTGACAGGAGGGAAACAGATGCAGGTGAAGGAGGCATTGTGGAGTGTGTATAAAATTGATTTGAACTGATATATTACATTCAAGATGCTAGTATAAACTACCACTAAATTTAAATAGTTTTTGTACTCAGAAATTACTATTGTTGGTAGTTCGTTTATCTACTGCATTGTTTGAAGGAATACGTTAATTTAAAAAAGACTATTGGAGAGTAGAGAACTCTGGAAAAAAAATGTATTTCAAGTCTTATTTTTATTTTTTTAACATTTGACAAGGAATATCTTTCAAACAGAATAGAAAAATATGTCTGTTTTTTTCCTTCCTCCAAACAGTTTGGCTTGCTACTCAGAATCATAGTACGCTTGTGACAGAGACAACAGTAGTCCCTTTCCTCCCTGTCAATCCTGAGTATTCCTCAACCAGGAATCAGGTGTGTGATCTTTCTAATACTATAAAAATATTTTCATTTCATAGGCCAGATATTCAAAGTAATGCTCCTTTGCTCTGCTTTATTACTGTGAAGAGTTGCATGTACATGTAGAGAGGTTAAAACATTAAGACTGCCTTGGAGTCTTTCGGTTATTGAAATAAAATAACACTTCTCATTTTTTCAAGAAAAAGTAGTTGTCAGCTTTCTGTACATGTTAGAGTCTTTGTTTTAATCTAGAACTGTTCTGTTCGTACTTCATATTTTTTTTTCCCTCCCCATCATTCTGTAATTTAGGGAAGACAGAAACTGGCTCGATTTAATGCCCATGAATTTGCTACGCTAGTTATAGATATTTTAAGTGATGCCAAACGAAGACAACACGGGAATCCGCTCGCTGGTTCGAAAGGTGAATATGTTTTTGGTTGTCAGCTGTTCCATATGCAGTATTTTAGTGATTTAATCCCTATCATCATTTAAAAGTACTCATATTAATGAAGAGATGATGTATACTGGTCTTATAAATGACGGCAAAAGCTAAAGAGATGCATGGGTAGCAGGCTGTAAGTGTGTGCTTTCACTTGTGTTTCTAACTATGTAGTACAGATTTTAAAATTTTATTTTTTGTTCTACAGAAAATGTGGAACTGATATTGAAGTCAATCAGCAATCAACACAGTGGTGAAAGCCAGGATAATGATCAGCCTGATTATGACAGTGTCGCTTCAGATGAAGATACAGATCTGGAAACAAACGCAGCAAAATCAAACAGGCAAAAGGTAGGTTTAAAGTACTTAAGTACAGACACCAAATTTAATTGATAAAGGAAAGCAAGAGTCACTAATTTTCCCCATTACAAGGGAATCTAATATGTGTAAGCGATCAGATGCTTATGCTTATCAAATGCTTTTTAAAAAAAAATGTGGGGGGGGGGGCACTAAATCCCTGTCGTTCTAGTTTCTGTTTAATGTTCCCATTGGACATCTGGTAATCTGTCTGTTAGGATTTAGTATTCCTTAATACCTTTTTTAAACCATTATGAAACAGTATTATTTCCCTGTTTGAAATACAAGAGACAAGTGTTTTGTGCATAGATGAACAGTGTTGATTGACATCCGATTTCTTTTATAATAGTCCAAAGTTATTTTAATGAATGAATGTTATTAATTCAAACTTAATTCAAGCTATGATTCCTTTAAAGTAACCGAAGAAGAATCTGTTGAGATCTCATAGTCTCGTTTTCTTCCAGTAGTCTGTTTCTCAATAGTGTAAGCATTTTACCCTTGCTGTTTGTAGAGCCTAGACTCAGACTTGTCAGATGGCCCAGTGACAGCCCAAGAATATATGCAAGTTAAAAATGCTTTGGTGGCTTCTGAGGTAAAGATTCAGCAGTTAATGAAAGTGAACATCAACTTGAGTGATGAGCTGAGAATCATGCAGAAAAAGGTAACGGAGCACAATCATTTAACTCTTTCATTTATGGTTTAGTAACATTTATCTTAATTTCAGTTGATTAGAATAGCACTGCTCAATAAACCAATATAAGGGTAGTGAGAAAGCTTGAAAAAAGGCTGTTGGAATTGGATATGATGCAACAAAAACATATCTTCTCTTTTTGTGGAGATGTTGATGATCTTAGCTCACTTTGACAGCTTTTCCTGGTGATGAGATAAGTTATTTTAAATTGTGTATGCTTTTGCTGTTTTAGCAGTTTTCAGCACTTACGACGTAAGTGGAGCTTGCTTTTCCAGTAGATCTTCTGTTTCATTGCATTAATAGTATATAGAATATATATAGAATGAGGGGATATTAAAACCCTAATAGGGTTTTGATTCTGAAAGTGATTAAAACCCTAACACAGAAAGGTTCTAATGTGTAGGGAATAAATATCAATTCTATTTGTATATAAGGAGGCTAAGATTTACTTGGCTGTTTGCTAAGTAAAGATCTGAGGGAAGGAGAATGTAAGAATATTGTGGATTTTTTTTTCCCTCACAATATTCAGCATTTGGCAAACCTGCAATGTGAGTTTTGTCTAAACAAGGATAAGGTAGAGGTATTTCACTTAGACTAAAAGCTACTATGTATAGATATACTACACAAACAGCAAAGTGATCGTTTCTGCTAAAATGCTAAATTTAAAATCTGGACTCTAAAAAACTGTTTTAAAAGTCAGACTTTCTAAGCCTAATATAAACAAGTCATGTCGTCTCTGAAAGGCCAAAAATTAGTCTTCACATGTAAAGCAAGTCTTCGTAAACATAATTGTGATAGAAGCAAAAAATCAGGATGCAGGGCATATTTTTCTTGAAAGAAACTGAGCTTTTAGGATTACTACCAATGTGTAAATTTGATTGCCAAAGATAAAACTGCTGAAAATTAGTGGGAGGATAGGCCCATTTCGTTGTCACTTAGGACCCATACTTCTCTTGTAGGCTGTCAGATCTTGATGCTAGGATGTGACTGGAGCCCTCATATTGGGGCCATTCAGAATTCAGAACCATTCAGAATTTCTTTCATGCTTTGCCACAAGTTGGGGTAAATGGGCGTAAAATAGATAAACCATACATTTTTTTTTTTCTGTGTAAGGTAAGGGAGGACTTAATCTTATTGAATTCTATATCCTGTCTGTCTAGCTGAGAAAGGGCTGGCTACTTTCTCAAAGGGATTCTCTTTGCTAGTGTTAAAAACAATGTTTTCCAAGTAATTATGAGGCTTAAATGCTCGAATTGCAGCTGCAGGAACTCCGCCTGTGCTGACACTTTGCTTAGGAGTCTTCAAGCTTTGCTACTGCCGAGGTGAACTTGAGCTGAGCGTTACATTAACACAAGCCCAAACCAGCTGTTCTTCCCTGTGTTGTTTTGGAGCAAAGAGTCTGACTCTTTGGAGAGTGGTGGGATTAGCATCTATGATGAAGCTAAATCAGCAAATGCAAATATCCTCTTACGTTCAGTACCATCCTTTTATTACAACTCTTAGCCTTTTAGGCCTACTGGAATGAAAAACAGAGGAACACAAGATGTCTCATCTTTTTTCAATGCTACTTTAACAACTGGTACTGCTTAACCATTTTGCTGCATTAGTTGATTTACCTTTTCCCTGATACTGCAATTCTTTAGATAGACTTAATCTCTTGAGAAACAGAAAGATTCCTAAGGCCTGTGGATTAATGAGGCCTTCTAGCGTAGGTGTTTGTGATGCAGCAGAAAGACATCATTGCTCTTCTGTAGCAGAATAGCTCTTGAGAGCTGGCGTGGCTGTGACTCGCTTGTTTTGCAGATGAGTTGAGCTAATTTTTGTCCTCGTGATGTAGATGGCTATTGGATTTCTCTTGGTTTTGAAGGACAGCGGTAGCGATGCTGTGCTGCAGAAGGAGGAAGGGAGAGCGGCTGTCGGCAGCGTAGGGCTGCCGGGAAGCTCCGTGCCCTGGGGTTCTCTGGTGGCTGCCGGCCTGAGGCACCAGGGGACTGTCCTGCTTCAGCAGCTCTAAAGCAAGAGACTTCCTCAAGCAGGAGGGGTGTTGGGAGATTTTTAGACTTCATGTATTTTTAAATATATATATGTTGTTTTCTATGCGCAGAGCTTAGAATCTTATAAGCTCAAAATTCTGTTCACTGTACACATCACCTTATTAGCTCACTGCATACCTGATCTTTTGCATGCCAATTATTTGAGAAAGACACTAATGAAAGAAAGCGCGAAGCAACACTTGATGCATGCTACTTACGAATAGATTCTTCCTAAATAGACCTTCTGATGGGGGAAAAAAGAAATGCCTTTTTAAATGCTTGCGTATTTGTTTATGTACCTAGAGGTGATAAAGAATTTGGTCTGAATTTTCATTGGTTATCGCTGGATATTCCACCAAAAGGATTTTATAAAATGTGGTAGAAGATGAGAAAAAAGGAAACGGCAAACTTGATCTATTTAACTGTCCCTGATGTCAAGCTTTAAAGAAGTGGCTTGGGTCCTGGCTGGTCCTTGGAGCTTCATACACAGAGACCTTAATACACAGTGCATCTTAATTCAGAGTGCACAGAAAGAATGTGGAAAAGCATAAATTATTTTGATTAAAGTCTGCACACTCCATTTAGAGGTTGGGAAGTGCTCCAGGCAGAATAGATTTTTTTTTTTTTTTAGTGGAATTCATGTTCTTGAGAGTTTATATGGTGCAAAGTAAATGCAGATAATAAACATACAATTTCCAGATAAAAGACTGTTAGCTGTTTGAAATATACTCAGTATATTGTTGGAAAATAGTTGATGCTGAAGTACTTTTTATGATGTGTTAATATAGCAAACTTGCTCTCAGTAACTCCACGTAAAAAATAGAAATTTTGCATTTTTACTATCGATCAAATGTATATGATGATAAGCTAAAACTAGTTCTTGTTGGCTTCGTAGAAAGCAGTAGCTGATACTTCATTTTCATAAGCTAAAACTCTCCTCTTGCTTTGCAGAGCAAGCTCTAGTTTCTTTGCGCTGCCTCTGGCATCTGTGCTGTAATTTTGGCATTTGCAAACTCCATGGACCTTATGTTAAAGTCGTCCTTTAAGCTCTCGTAGTGACTGCTGAAATGGATCGCTGCACTTAGCACATTGTTTTCTTGGCCAGCCCTCCCCACTTGGCCTCCCCAGGCAAGCTCGTTGCATTACGTGACTCACGAGCCAGTACGGTTAGGCTGGAAGAAATTGCCTGTATACTTTAATTACAACCACTTAAGATGCTGCAAATCAGCACATAAAGACTTGCCGCATCTGGAGCATAGATGTTTCTGTGCTTATGCTGAGCAAATCAAGTAATTTCTGAAAAAGAAATGGAGCTTCAGCTCCTGGTAGCTGCCTTCCTAGTAAAGCCGACAAGCGTGTGCCTGTATATTCAGTTTGCTTTTGACGCTTGCTATTAGACAAACAAAGTCCCACTGCTAAACATGTCTTTCAGCTTCAAACGCTGCAGAGTGAAAATACCAACCTCAGAAGACAGGCCACAACCAATATATATCAGGTCCAAAGTGGTTCTGAATACACAGACCCTACCAACAATTCTTCTTTAAAGCGACGACCGTCTGCCCGGGGTAGCAGACCCATGTCCATGTATGAGACTGGATCAGGTCAGAAACCCTACCTCCCAATGGGAGAGGTCACATACCCTGAAGAAAGCATAACGAGACTGCAGCCTTTCCCTCCACATGTAAGTAAAATCGCTGATGCTTCTGCATTTCTCCTGATGTTCAGCTTTTCTTTCTGTTCCAGCTGTGCGCATAAACTGGTGCTTCTCAACCGTTTGCTTCTTAGTAAATCTGAACTGTGAGAATTGTTACTGTTTGCTGTATTAACATGTCTGCAGGAGCTCGATGTTTTGAAGAGTAAGAACTATAACAATTCCTGGAGATACAGACTGGAGCTTTTGCCTTCTGCTCAGCTCTTTCTTTTAACCACAGTATTTTTGCCAAATATTTGTGTGAATGTTTCAAAACCAGGTGTGTGTGGGGGGAAAAGTAGCTTTCAAGAAGGTAGGTATAGTTCATGGGTTTCTTTCATGAGATGCACAGACATGTGCCTATTTGTGGAACTCTTAAAACCTTCTTTCAAAACGAAAATAAAATTGAAGATAACTCTTTTTTTGGGTAAGGCAACTGTTTTATTATTATTATTATTATTATTATTATTATTATTATTATTATTATTATTCTGAGTTTGTGAAACCTGAGGCTGAAGACAGTTTAGACCTGTTAGTTGAACACATTCTTCTGGATTAGCATTTTGTTTGTATGCTGCACTAATAGGGAAGACAGAGGCCTGAATCAGCCACCAGGTTTCCGCACAGGGGTGCGCACACTGCAGATAAGTGGCCCAGCCCACATTAGTGCTCATTAAAGGTAATTTTCATGGCAACTTTTTAAATTGCCTTGTGAGAAGGAAGATGTGAAAGTATTTTCTGCCAGCGCGTATTTAGCGTTTGGGGATTTGTTCTAGTTGTTGGTAGTGCTATCTTGTGTTCTCCTGCCACATGAACATTTAAGCCCTTTAAAATGTGAGTTAACGTTTCTTGCCTGGCATGGAGGAGAGCAAATGTTCCATGAACATCCCCAAAACGCCAGGGAGTGCCAACAGCGGGAGCGCACCAGGCAGTTGGTGCAGATTATTTTTTCCCTTCAGTTGAATTAATAAAAATTAAACAAAATAAAATCTCTGTCACTCCAAATGAAGTTGATGTGTCAATATGAAGCAAGAAGTATAAGAATTCTTCTGTTCTTGACAATGAAGGCAAAATACGACAGCACTTTTATTCAGGTCTTTCACATTTCTCATTTGATTTTAAATTTGGCTGCAGTGGTTCTGAAGCTTTGATTTGTCCTGTGGAGATCGGTTAATTTGGTATGATGGCGAATATAGTGTATTCGCTGTGGAATTTGGCACCTCCAGACTAACTGTGTTACCATCATAAGTCAATTATGTTTGGAAAAAATTAAATCCACTCAAGTTCAACCAAGTTCTCAATACCATTTTTGCTTTATGTCATCTCCTTGGTTTTAAGAATGTTCCTTTATTTCACTTCAGTTATTTGTGTTTTGTTTTTGGTTTTCCCGAGTGTTTTTTTTTTTTCTTTCCCATTTTTAGATCGGGAGGAGTGCGTTTGTGACCTCCTCTTCATCTCTACCTTCCTTCCCCTCCACGCTTTCCTGGTCAAGGGATGAAAGCACACGAAGGGTTAAGTACCTTCCCCATTAGTCTTTTACCTGGAGGAGATGGCAATCATCCGAAAAGCCCTCATGCCTCTATGCTCTCCCCTTTGCTAACGAGCCTTCAGGCCTGCATGAAGCAGCATTTCATCATTTTGGTTTCTTCTGCCACCTTCTGTGGATACTTGCCTCTCTCTAACGGCACAACAGCTAAAATCTTCAGCATTTAACACCACGCACAAAGTCGCTCCAAATCACTCGTTCGATTGCGTAGCGCTGAAAACAATCAGAGGACAAGCTGGTTGCTGTTTAAAAAGTAATTCGGTAGACACTTTACTGATATTTCATAAGCCAATACATAACTTTTCCTTCTGACTAAAATGCATTGCATGAGGCCCAGGAATGCTCACTGGCTTCCAGCTTCCACGGCTGCTTTCTCTGGGGGCTGTCAGTTTGCATCCAATCCGCAATGCTCCTGATTGACAGTTTGTCTTACAGATGTTCAGCAGTTTGCTTGAAGTGAGTTCTTTAAGGGGCCAAGCAGATAGCGCTGCAGGTTGCCCGCTAGTTTGATGTCAGCTAGCTGGCTTTCTGCTTACCCTGACAGACAGAAGACCAAAAAGGCATGGAAATTGCTCTTAGCAAGACTCCTTTCAGGTTAAAGTTGAAGACTTGTGTTAAAACATAAAGGAAGTTCATATGGGTGTTCATAAGGTTCTGCAAAACTTTGTTCTTCAGGTCTTTGTTGGTCACTATATTGACTTTAGGAAGACAAATTGTCACGTTACTGGAAAACAAGTGCATTCTGTATGCTGTTATCTCAAAGGCACTGTTTTGTTGCAGCCTCCTATGTGAACTTTAACTATTTAGAGAAGCATAATCCAGGTTGTTACAGTTTTCTAAACGTTGTTCTCTCTTTTATAGTGGGATACTTTATTCAGGTTCATTTGCTGGAAGTTAGCATAAAATGCTGTTTCACAAAAGAACAATTTGAGCGTATCTAGGATGGTAAACACCTTGCTAGACTAGTGCATTTGTGACAGGCAGCTGCTTAGGCTACATCTTGCTTAGGATCCTACAAAGAATTCTAAGTTACATGTTCTGGAATTGCAAATGTAACGTGCTTTTGCCTTCTTTTGAATAATTTCAGGTTCTGGTTGTGGAAGGGCTTATGTAAGACTGTAGTGGATCCAGAGTAGGCAGTTTACTACAAAGTGATACAAATTATGAGTGAATATCCTTCCACGTAGCCAGATGTGAATCTGGGTTTGCCTGCAGCTGGTATCAACACTGCACTTTTAAATTATGGTGGAACCTAGAAACTTGAGAATTTTGTTTTGTTTTGCTTCTAAGCATCCAGTGATTTTTATTGCTATTTCAGATCCTGTTTTCCTAGATCACTGTTGTGTTTGTATTTTTGATCACAGCGTACAGCATTACTGCTCATCACACTGTTCTCCATTGCACATCTTGGAGAAGGGAAAGGTCAGAACCCACATGCAGTAGTTTTACATCTTCACTGTTTCTCTGCCACTTGGTCTTTGTTCACTACCTTGACAGATGATTCAAAAAACGCAACTATTTTTTTCTTCTGTGCAAAATATGGAAAGTGCTCATGTTACAAGTGCTTCAAACCAAAGATCTGTTTTGTTTTATTTTGGTTCTGTTTTTTTTTTTTTTTTAAGAGAAAACAAGAATGCATCACAAATGGAGTGAAAACATTTTCTATTCACGTTGCTTGTCATTCCTGAAGACAAAAATACTGTCCTGACTGTATGTATCAGGTATCCTACCTGAAGGCAGCCCTCGTAGTCTAACACTTGAGTGTCCCTTGGTCTGGTCTTTACTTCATGGTTTCTGTAGGGCTCTGAGGGTGGCTCTCCAGCTGGGAGGGCAGGAGACCCTGTCAGGTGAGCAGTGCCGTCTGTGGACAAGCCTGGAGCTGAGGTGACACCAGGACTTCCAAGCTCGGTCGAGGGACTCTGCTTCAGGGTGACACCAATGCGCTGGCATCAAGGGCTCAGGGACACGGACCAGGCGGCCCGCTGGGACCCTGGTGTCGCTGCCCCTTTGAATGCGGGTGCAAGGGGGAGCAGGAGAGGCTGCTGCGCAGATGGCAGCTTCTGGCAAAGCTCAAGGACCTTTTCTCTTTAGAACTGCCATAGAAGCTTGAGTAAAACCTGTTCTCTAACACAGGTCTGGTTTGTGCTTTAAGGAAGAATTTCTCATTAAGGAGGTAATAGTTAACTAGGGAACTAGTGAATTTCTTGATTCGGAAGAAGGGCATGGCCTTTAGTATCACATTCAGTTCAGCACTGCTGTTGTATGCCTGCTGTAAGCATACTAAGCATCAAAGTCAGTTGGGTAAAGAGGAAGAAAAATGCATTACAGCAGAAACAACAGTAACTTGAAGCGTGTGAATGAGTAACCTGGAATTGAGCGGTGAATAATGATAGGGCTAGACTGAGTTTGCAAAATAAGACTGGTACAGGAACTCTGATGCAAAAGAACAAACCAATGTGCATAGATTATATGTGAAAATAATTGTGGTTCTTTTTTAAGCACAATACTTAAATCTTTATTTGTTGTAGGCCTCAAAATTAGAAAAACAGAACAGCATGCCTGAAAGTGACTATGATAATCCCACCACCAGTTTGGAGCTGGATGAGACAGGGTAGGTCTGATGACACATGGAGCTAATGCTTAAAGACAAAGGATTATTTAAACAATACTAAAATTCTGTACTGCATTGACAATGCATTACTCTTTTGCAGGTCTGTTAGGAAAGGAAGGCAGAGGAGTGTCATTTGGCAGGGGGAAGGCTCTATCCCTGAAGATACTGATACAGCCCCCAGTTCCAGTTTGCCCAGTACGGAGGATGTGATTCGGAAGACTGAGCAGATCACTAAAAATATTCAGGAGCTCTTGAGGGCAGCACAAGAGAACAAGCACGACAGGTAAGTGCCAAGGTCCTGAAAAGTTCTGGAGTTCAAGAAGAAATAAAGAAGACTTTGTACTGACCTGCCTGTCCTCCGCGGAAGGAAGTAGTAGAGGGACAAGGGCAAGACTCTTGCGAAAGACCCGCTGCAGGATCCACATTGCAAGCTGCATGTAGTGCACGTCTAAGGTGCGAGTCAAACAAGTGTTGCAGAGAGCTTGGTATTGCAGAGAGCTTGGTATGAGCAGTAATTCTCTTAGCTCCTCAGACTGCAGGAGATCTAGGTAAGAACACCCCGAGGAAATGGGATTGCAATACTGAAGCTTGTTTCAGGAAAGAAAATCAAAGGCAGGGAGAAGTTGGCCTTCATGTTCAAATAGGACTTCTCAATGTGGCTGCATTTGTTATCTCTAATCTGCTGTCCTGAGGGCTCTTGTTTTGAATGGGTGGTTTGTGGTGGTGGTGGTGGTGTTTGGTTTTGTCGTTTGTCCTTTTTAGAAGGAAACAGATAATGTGCCAAGGAAAACTATTTTTGAGCTGTTAGTTTAGACACAGAGATAACTTGATAAGTAGGTGACTGCTTGTCAGCACATCAGTTAACACTCTGCTCGAGCTCCCTCATCTAATCTGTAACTAAACCTTATGGTTATTTTTGCTAAATATCTCTGTGCAAGTGCTATTGATATTGTCACTATGTAATTGTGACAATCTTTCTGACCCCAGGACCCATGCAGTTCTTTGCCTGCTAAATGGCTAGTGTTTTTGTTAAACCCTTATTTCCTGTATTATTGAGGAAGATGGACAACAATGGGGCTATTTAGTCCTGTTTCTTTCCGTCCTTGTACCCTGCTATTTTTAGAAGGCACAGTGCACGCCCTCCGGAGTCAGCTCTGGGATGAATGGAGAGCTCCAGTGTGTTTCTGATGAGCATGGTGCCCTTGTCCGTGACTTTCTCGCTGACCCCTTTGATGTTTGCTTGCCTGTTCCTCCAAGATGATAGTGAGAAGCAGTAATAAGCAAAGCTCCAAATAGGTTGGTTAGTTTGTATGTCACTGCTTGTGGAGTACAAATTAAAAAAGTCTTTAAAAGCAGCAATGCAGCATAACTGGACTTTTGTTGTTGACTAGATTGTCTCAAAAAAACTGTTTGTTTTTTTCTTTCTTCTGTACGGTGAATAGCATATGTTGTTTGCTAGTATTTAAATGACAAGACGTACAGACTGCTGAGCTGCGAAACTAAAGTTCTTTGTTTTCCTAATCCTTGGCTTTGTCTCCATGGGCCAGGCATTGTGTAGCCCGCATGGAGCATAGGAGGCGGGATGAGTAGGTTTGTCCCACTATTGCCCTCTAGCATTAGGAAACTGCTTCCTTAGGAAAACGGGATATTCAGGGTCATAATGATGCAGCTTCCAAGGGTGTTCTGGGAATGTTACAGGTGAAAGTGATGTGCTGTGTAGATAACTGGGCAGGAATAGATGATATTCTTGTATTCATTTTATTAATGAAACACCCTCTTCCTTTTTTTTTTTCTCATTTTTTCCTATTGTATTCTCTGCTCAACGGCCCCGGTAGAGCACAGGAGCGGGCAGGGGTGTCCGGGCTCAGACGCGGCCCCGGCCGCTTCCGCGCGCTGGTTCCCTGGCCTGGGAGAGCTTCCCTGCAGCCTCTGAGCATCCAGCAGCCTCATCCCACCTCCTGGTGCCCCGGCCTCTGCCCCTGCCTTCCAGGCACTGTGTCCTTTCTTCTCTGCTGCCTCCTTCCCTCGTGCTCCGCCTGCACAGGGGTCGTGGAGGGCTATGCACGAAACGCTCCGAGGGGCCAGGGAACCGCAGGCAGCGAGCGCAGGGAGCCGGGAACGTCGGCGCCCGCGGGGTGAAGCTCCCGCCGCGGATCCGCCCGGGAGCGGAGTCACGGCCTAGAACCCGCAGCCGTCTCCACCTGGAGATTCCCCGCTCTCCATTCTGTTTATTGTCTATCAATATAAATCATGACAACTAATAGCACATTATCTTGTTACCAGTTTTGATACTGGTGCAAAAATAGGGGAATTTTCACAATCCCCAACTTCCAACATTCAAACCTTGCAGATCTCTACCTGTTCGTATAGCGAGTGTGTTAAACAAGACAGTCCCATTCCTCACTGATCTTGGATCAGTGACCAAAGACTTATGTGCAAGATATTTATACCAGTATCTTGCACCTTGAGCAAAAATATTGTTTATTAATGCCTAAAATGCAACCAAATTTAAAGGTTCTTTAAAAATGTTCAAGTTTTAACACCAAACCAGTGTTAAATATCAAAATCTGAGACGTTTCCTCAAGTCTTCAGTTATTACTAAGATAGATTTTTTGTTTTCTTGAAATTATTACTACTTGAAAATGTGTCAACTTACCAAATGTGTCAGCTCATTTAAAGAGTATATAGTATAGAGGCAAAAATAATGTCATTTCTCCAAGGTGTGCCAAAAATTTGGCAGCAAACCTAGAGAGCTGGAGAACATGTTATGAACTAGGCCTCTCTCACACAAGTCTCTTTTATTCAGGTAATTCCTGCAGCTTTTTCGGTGCTGCCGGTGGAGGCTTTAAGCAGCAAACGGACTTTTCTGGGAGTTAAGGCACTGCTCAATGTGACCTACAGGAGGCAAATTATTAACTCAGTAGCAGAATGGGAATTAGTGAACTTGAAGTATAAAGAGATTTCCTTCCACTTTGAGTTATTTGATAGGATTTGTGCATTTAGATACATGGAAATATTCCCTCTTTAGAGCAGTTTTTCCTGCATTGCCCCGATGACCCCAGTGTGTTGCTTTTGTTTCGGTGCCTTTGTAACTGATGTGTTTTGCACCTTTGGTATTGCAAGGTAACTGCCTGTCACTGGTTGTGGGTTGTTTGTTTTGCTTGAAGGCAATGAAGTGTCCTAATCATGCCCAGTACTTCTCAGCTGTGCTGCTGCCTCGTGATTTTCACCTTAAGATTGCACTGTCTTAACTAACTGGAAGCTGAGTGTTCAGTGCATAAAAATGAGTCTTTTGAAATTAGGATTTTTTGCACCATACTAACAGAATGCTTCACAAAATTTGTGGCAAATAGTTCTAAGATGTAGCTTGAACAGACTGATATTCAGTATATGATTAAGATGTGAAGTTTGTGAGGACTAATGGGATTTGGTATCATTTATTAACAGGATTACTGAAAAGTGAGCCTAGAATATACACACTGTGAAAGTAGCTCCTAGTTTAGCAATGCAGGTATTAGTAAGCTGCTGTAGGAGCCCTTGGTCATTGTGAATTGTTAATGTATTGTGTGTCAATTCATCAGAGAAGGCAGTTTTACCTTTAGTTAAACTTCACTAAAAAAAAGGCAAGTCGATGTCCTGCTTTTGAGCCATGATAGGGAAAAGAGGCAGCCTCTGCATGGGGCTGCATTCCCCATTGAACTGCTGCAGGTGGACTGGAGAGGTGGAAGTGAGTGTCCTTGGAACCGAGGTGGGTCCTTAGGCTGCCTCTCTGCAGCAAACTAAGGAGTGCTTTAAGCCCAGCTCTTAACCCCGGAGAAATGTGTTCCTTAGATCATTTAAAGTTTAGCTGAGAAATGGGATTTAACAGCTTACAGAGGCCAGGCATCGGATCCTGCTGCCAAGTGTTTGGAACATAGTTTTTTGGATTTATTCTTTTTTGGTGATATAATTCAAAGAGAAGTACTTTGGAAAAGACTCCTACTTTGTAACTTACCCATGGAAAATAAGTGCAGGAAAGTTTCCTGTGTTGCTAAGGAGGGATAGGCATGACAGTCCTGTAAATATTTACTCTCGAGTAGATCAAATAATATTTTAAAATATTTTTTAACTGTCTGGATGGCAAAAAGACAGTTCTGAAAGGTAAAATTATTTCTTTTTTTTTAACCGGAAAGTTGCTTTGTTCCAAATATCTCCGCATCACCCTGCTTTGTATAAGTGTCTTCAAACTGCAGAATCTGATGTATTTCGTGCCTGCCTCACGTGGATCAGTTTACTTGTGCACGCTCTCCCCTGCAGAGCAGGGATATGTGGAGCCTATGTAGGCTGACAGAACAGTCTGAGCAGCTTTCTGCGCTCACTTAGACTCAAATTGAAGCATTTCAATAATTTTTAGATGATGACACTGTATGAAGTAATGTGCGACTAGTATTTGTAGACGTGTGTTTCCATAATTGAGTACAAATTGAGGCTTTATTCTGATGCTATTTGGTATAACAGGTGCAGGCAGTCATTCCTTCAAACAAGCTTCAATCAAAGACAGATCAAAATTGAAGAATTAACTATCTCTGAAATCAAATAGTGTGTTTGTATACAGATTTGTGCTGCAGTGTGCACGGGGGCTTCACCATAAGTTGTTCAGGTTTTTGTGACTCAGTCGTTTGAGTGAAATAGCTACTGACTAGTGAAATTGGAAAGGGAAGGGTCTTTACCTGGAGAATAATATGTTGCCTTTTCTTGCAGCTATATACCGTGCTCCGAGAGAATACATGTGGCAGTAACAGAAATGGCAGCCTTGTTTCCAAAAGTAAGTACTGCAGGGGTTTAAGTAGTTTTGCCTCTCGCCTCTCTGTGAGAGTAAATTCTACTGCAGTAAATGAAAGCGCAAACCAGAAGGTAGGAAGACGTGACTAGGTGTTTTTGCCAAGTCTAGCATCATAGTGTTTATTGCCATGCTGAGAGGGTTAATCTGTGAATCCAGGCCTTAAGATGGAAGTTCAAAAGTAAAATTAAAGAAGTACAGCAGTTCCCCTGAGACTGGAGGATCTTTCATGTAGTTTAAGCAGTCCTGTGGTTACACTGGAATTTTGCTAGACTAATCAGTCCCAACCTTCAGTTTGATGCCACTGCTTGACTCTCTTATTGGCACGGTCATTTCAGACCGTTCACGCTGTTGAAGCAATCTGTGTCTTCAAAGCAGGGTTTAGCTAGTGCGTGACATTTCCATTTGTCATATGTACACCTAAGATTGCCAAGACGAGTAGCTTTTTGTGTCCTTAGAGAAAAAGGGGGGTGTCTGATATCAGATGAATTACTCTCCATTTTGAAGCTAAAGTTACCTGCGGTTAAAATGATTATTTTCCATTGCAAAATAACTCGAATGACCCCTGTTATCTCAACCTCAAGTGTTCTGGAATCTGAATCAGATTTTCTTCCTGCTCCAATACTGCTGAAAATTCAGGTGTGTTCCTGTGTGACCCCGTTGGTGACATAATCACAGATTCATATAGGAAATAAATCCAGATATGCAAAAATATGGTTTTGGGCCTACCTGGAGATGGGTGCCCAGAAAGCCCAGTTGTATGAGCAGCTTTCAGGGTGCAGGAAGGAAGGGGCCGGTGACCAGCACTCAGGCCGCTCTGGATGTTGGTCGGACTCTTGGGGAGGTCGCTGTCCATGCAGTGAGGAGCTCCGGAGAAGTCCCGGGCAGCACAGAGCCCTCGCAGCAAATGTCCTGTGTTAAAGAACGTTAATTCACAACTACTGGCTAATTAAAAGTGATCCTGAGACAGTTTTGTACCAGCTGCTTCAACTTTTATTTCCCTTCCCAGAAACCCAAATCGGAACTGGTAAGGACTTCATTGCGTCTGCTGACCTCTAGTGCCTACAGACTCCAATCCGAGTGCAAAAAAGCGCTGCCTGTGGAGACCTGCCCCACCACGGACATCCAGCTGGTCACCCAGCAAGTCATCCAGTGCGCCTACGACATTGCCAAGGCTGCTAAGCAGCTGGTGACCATCACCACCAAAGAGAACAACAACTGAGGCACGCTTCAGCTTGCCAGTCTGCTTGGGTTTTGTAAGGTTGGATTGCAAATGTAGGTGTGGAACTATTCCAATTTTTACAAGGAAAAGTAAAGGGGGCGATTTTTTAAAATTCAGTATTATTTTTGCATGTTTTCTAACCGTTTTAATTTAACCCACTGCCTTATTTTGTGTCTGTGTTGCCAGTTTAGTTACAGATAATATAGCATGTTGCAAATAGCTGTTGAGCCAGTATCAGGTACCAAGGTTGTATCAAGGTCTCCTAAGAGATTTCCTTGGGGCCAGGTTCTGCTTTCCGAGGCTGCTTGCCCAGGGCCCGTTGTGTCAGCTGCACCTCCCGGAGGGCAGATCTCACCTTGCTCTGTACGTCCTGGAGCCTCCCTGGAAGTGAAGCGAGGCCCCGAGGGCTCCAGGAACGTCACCTCCAAGCAGCAGAATGAGAACAACCCGAGCGTTATCTCTCCCCATATCAACTGTTGTGCAATAATACATTTTTAGTCTGATGAAACAGTAGTAGTTGTGGGCATCTGAGCTTATTAAATGTAACTATACAAGGTCTTCTGTCACTTTATCTGTTTTGGAAGGAATTTAGAATTTAATAGTTACTTCTTTTAGTTGTCACTATGCCATTAATATATATGTTTGATGTTACTTTAGGGCATTAGTGGTAAAATATTATCCTTTGTTTCTTAGTAACTCATTCTAAAGTTTCCTCCAGAATTTTATTACCTTTTAGTGTCATCTTCAAGGCAAAATGTTGTTGTTAGCAGCATTGTCCAGTATCTCTTGAGAAGCAATTTTACTCAAGATCTTTGTGATAATCATGGGGGGAAAAAAAGGAAATTAGAAGAGTGCCAGTTCAAAGGAAGTTATGTCTGCCATAGGATATTGCCTTTGTACCTCAGTGTATCCAGTTGTGAAAAGATTTTTTTTATCCAGGACCTTTCATGCAAAGCTTTCAAAATTTTAAAAGCTACATATGGAATAACTCTAGATCAGTTGCCTATCAGAAATGCAGATAGGTAACAAATGTCAGTGTATGTTGTGTTTTTTCAATTCCTAAGTTCATAAAAACTTCAAAAAGAAAATAAAAAGACCTGTGCAAGTCCATTACTTTCAAAAACAGTAATTCCTTTAAGAATCTAAATTCCATGGAGAGCCAAAGAGATTTGGACTCCTAACGTGTCCCATGTGAACGCGTGCTGCTCTTCTCGACGCCGGTTGTGTCAGTTTAACTGGTAGCCACTCGGAGCAGCAATTTAGCTGAAAAACAAACCTAGGAAACGGAGAGAGGTGTCACGTGTCAGTGGTCAATATAGGAAGGTGTTTTCTGGTGCCAGGGTGACCCTGGAGCCGTTTCAGTGATGAGTGGCACTCGTCACACGGAGACCCTGCAGCCAGGTGCAGATGGAGCTTACCGAGATTTTCCATCTGGGTGAGTGTTTTGACAGCTTTGCTCACCTTGTCACTCTGCGAGTCGTGTGGAGTTCAGAGGAAAGAGAGCTTGATTCATTAACTCAAATGAGGGGGTAAATGAACTGTAGCTAGTTGCTTTTTCAAAGAAAAAAAAGTATTTTGATATTTTTGATGCTATGAGACTTCACAAATCCTGCATGTCATGCCTGTTTATCTATAAACCTGGCAAAACTTGTGAAAGTTTTCCACCAACTAGATGACTTTTCCTTGTTATAAGTAATCTTGTGAGACTTTCCTCTAGTTCCAAAAATTGCAGGGCCGCGAGCTGCACGTGTTGCTCTAATCGCTGCCCTCTCAGTGTTAGCAGTATCTGTATAAATGTCATCATATTGTGGTCTGTCTGAACTCAGCCAGCCTTGGTGAAACGCTTGGGTCTGGAAGTGGCTCCCTGCTGTTCCTTAAGCAGGTCCAGCATATTCCAGCATTTTTCTTTAAGGCTTTTGGGTGAAAATATGCCATGTTTAGGTTTACAAACAAAACCTAAATTTCAGTCGTTCTTTCCTTTTAAGCCCGTACGTGTGTTTGTGCATACGTACAAACGTTGCCCAAGGGCCACAGTGTTGTTGGATTCTTAAATGTTGTGAATAGCTGCCTGCCTGAAGTATTTGAGGTGCAAGAGAAGAGGAGTGGAGAGAGACTAGATGCAGAGCTAGTGCAGTAATCATCTCTACGATCTGTCTTCCTCCACCTCTGAGTCCTGGAACTGTTTCTAGATTTGCAGGAGTGTAGACAGGCTGGGGGTAGAACTGTAGAAAACAAACACTTAAACTGTTTAAGAATTATCAATGTATTCATCTAATCTCCTTTTAGGACTTTTTGTTTTAAATTAGCATAATGGAAAGGTAGAGAATGGTGGTTTAAAATCTCTCAGGACCTTGCTACATGCTTTTCTTTAACATATCCTTCTCTGATTTCCAGATATCAGTTGTCTGAATTTGCCTCTGTGCCAAAACACAAGTGAACTTTAACTGCAAGCCCTTGTTCTCAATACACTAACTATCCATTTTCTAAGATAATGTAGGTTTAAACTGTAATCGGTTTCCCCTTCATTCCCATTTCTGGTGAACTCCAGCTTCTTTGGGCAAATGGGTGTTTGGGATTGTGCTGCTGACCCATGTGTTGTTGCCCCAAACTAGCTTCATGTGGGATATGAAATTTTCTTAGCTAGCAGTGGAGCAGAAGCAGGGACTGAGCACATGCTCGGGTACCTCATTGTGGCTTTTCAAAAGCAGGCAGCGTGGATCAAAAATAATTGTGAAATTGAGTAGCACATTAGCCCTCAAGTGTTATGTAGCACTGCAGGTCATAGGATACTGCAATACCTGAAACAACAAAGGTGACTTTTATTTTATGCTTTGAACTCTTTTCTCCCCTTCCCTGCCCCGCCAAATCCTCTTTACAAAATGCTGCATAGGAAAGTGAAAATGCCTTTTTACAAACTTGTATTTATCAGTGTCACTCTGGCTGTACATTCTGACCTAATCTTTTGTTTACTGTATTACTATAAAATGCTAAAATCCTTTCAGTGTGTAAAACTGTTCTGGGTTATTCGAGCGCTTGTTTTGTGAAGCAGAGAACTTGGAAAAGGTCCCTTGGTTGAGTAAAGGCTCCTGTCCCAAAGTAGCATTGCCCCGTTGAGGCTGCGGTGCTGGAGCTGCCCTTGCCCCAGCTGACACAAGGGAGGCGAGTTGGCATTATTGCTAAAACTCACTCACACCTCTGCTTGCAGCAGCCTTGTAACATAATGAAACTAATGTTTGTTATGCTTGCAATTACTCATTATTTATGAAAAACAAGAAGAACCCTTTATTGAAGTCTTCAACATGCTTCAAAGAGGACTTAACTGTCCTCTAATGCAGCTTCTGGCACTATTTCTTAACAACTCGGTGCTCTGCACTATGCTTTGAAGCATGAGCAGGGCAGCTAGGGCACACGGTGCTGTCCCAAGGTCCCAAACCGCAGCCCCTAGGGCCTCAGCGTTGCAGTGCAGCAGCAAGCAGCCCCTCTTTCGTGTTGGTCTGACCACGCTGCACCTTTTCTTTCTTTTGCTTTTCCTCCTGGTGAAGGCTCCGACTCGCTGCTCTGTGTGCTAAGCTGAACTGCTACAACTCCAACACAACCCAAGTGAAGCCATGAAGGGAGGAGGCCTCAAGGCCTGGTCCTGCCTCTCAAGGGACTCGAGCCACCAGAAATGTGGTCTTGTGTTCAAGCAGGCCACAGCTAAGTATTTTCAAATACCTTCTTTCCATTTCTGTTCAGTCTTAGAGTCATTGTAGACTATTCTAAAAACATTATTAGCTAAAGCATTCCTTGATTCCTTAAAATATTGGTAGTAGGCAAATCCACTTAGTGCTCCTTCCTCCAGTATACCGGACAGGAATCTTCAGGTCCATGCTGCTTTTGGATGACTGTAGAGCTAATGGGTTGGAAACAAAAGATAAGTATTTTAAGAGCTCTAGAATTAGTCCTCTGTGATAGTGTTACTAAGCAGTCAGAGAAAGTACATGGAACAAGTCTTTCAAGAAAAAATCTACAGTAACTTTTGAGTTGATGATTTAAAGCAGAAAATCTGCTTACATGAAGATTGTCACCCTTTCTGGTATGCTTAAGTGTCACGATTTCCCCAACTGCTCTTTACCCTGTTGCGGTATCCTTGCTCAGCCATGCGCTTGGCCTCCTGCTGCACTAGCTCCTTGCAGCGCTGCTTCCTTAATCTCTCCTCTTCCTCCTCCTCTCTCTGGCGCTCCTGCTCCTCTTGCTCTTGCAGGTGTCGCTCTGTGAGCTAAGGATAGCAGAGACACGGGATATTAGGGCAAGGTTAGACACGCAGGTGAGTCGAAGAAGCTGCACTTGCCTTTCAAAACAGCTTTCTGCAGCAAAAGGGTTTCTCTAACATAAAAGGTTAATGAGGGCACTGAGTACTGTTTAGCTGACAAGGGAAAAATCCACCTTGGAAACTTCAACAGAACTGACTAGAGAGTCTGTTTGCCCACTTGGATTCTGCACATTCCTTAACGGACCTCTCCAAAGCCAAACTGTTTCTCTGCTATTGTGCTTCAACTTGTATTTTTCGGAAGCAATAGGTGAATTGCCAGAGCTCGTGGGCACACGCCGGGAAGCCGAGCCAACCGTACCTGAGCGTCCAGCTCCTGTCTGCGAGCAGACTTGAGTTCCTCTTCCTGCTCTCTCTCGCGCCTCGTCAGCTCTTTGGCCTCCTCAAGCTCTCTGATCAGCTGCTCTCGATACTTCACAGACTCTTCTTGGGCCCGTCTGTTCAGCTCCAGCTTTTCCTGGATCTGGCGCTGACTGCCTGCAAGCACCTTTGGGGAGCGAGGAGATCAAGGGAGATGTGAGGCAAGGAAGGGGCCAAATGCAGAAGCAAAACTGAAGAAATCTTGGTATAGACATTAAAGCAGCTCTCAGAAAATATATGAAGACAAATAGAAAGCTCTGGCCCTGGTACTGAACTAATGGATAGAGGCCTGTAATCCTCAGGACTCTTGCTTTAAGCAAGTAAAACAGATGGAATGATGGCTTCAGAGAAAGGTGAGACACGTCATTAAAAAAAAAAAGGTCACTTTTCAAAGGTACCTCACTCATCAGACGATCTCTGGCCCTCTTTTCTTTTTCCCATTCTTCTTCCCTTTTTTCCCATACCTTTTTAGCTTCTTCTCTAAAGGAGGAGTAAAGAATTATTAAAAAAAATTAAAAACACATAGTCTATGGTCATGGTCAACATTAGAGGAGCACTTGTTTTAAGTGTGCATTGACTCACCTAAAAATAGTCTGCAGCTCTGCTTCTCTCTCCTTCTCTAGCTGGAGCTGTTCCTCAATGACCCGTTTCATCCAGGCAGCGTCCGCAATAGCCCGTTCTCGTCTTGCCGACTGGAGGCGCTTTTCCTCCTCTTCCTTCTGAAGGAGGGCTAATAAAATTTGTCTGTCTGTCTCCTGAGAAAAGTCAAAAGATTAACAGTGATTCACTACCCTCAAGCTGTGTGCAAAGCTTCTCTGTGGAAAAATGACCAGCGGCACAGCGTGGCAGGCTTACCAGCTCCTCTTGTATCTGCTGGGCTCGCCTCCTCAACTGGGCATTGCACTGATGTCTCAAAAAGCGACTGAAGAAAGAAAAAAGAGAAACACTAAAAATGAGTCTGAAGCCTGGGGTGGAGATGCTGGCAGTTCCTGCTATTTCTAAAACAAATAGAAGTAAAGTAATTGCACCCATGTAATTTGCTCCTTGGCAGTTCTAGGTGCTTCCTTCAAAAAATGTATTAAAGCGTTAAAACCTACCACTGCTCTTTGCAAGTACTCTTATGGACACAGGACCAGATCTATCCAAGCCCTACTGAACTGCATCCCGTGCCGCACCGTACCCAAGCTCTATCTTCTTCCGATGCTCTTCCATTCGCTTCCTTTCCTCTTCTAAGTTCTCCAGCTCCCACTTCTGCTTTATTAAATTCTCTTGTTCTTTCTTCAGTTTAGTTGCCTAATATTTAAAAAACAAAACAAACACCCCTAAGAAACAGCACTTTAAATAGTTAAGATAGCCCAGAGTGAGCCTTTTTACCAGTGTTCGTACCATGTTTTGCCACCAGCACCAGGAGTAGTGCCAAGGACTCCTTTCTAAGCAGCCAAAATCCTCACTGCACTGCACTTTAAATTCACTGCTGGTGTATGTGCATACAGCACAGGCAACAGCAAAAAGCCCCAGCAGAGCAAAACTTCAGCACGGAAGTGTCACATTTGGAAGTTTTCACCTCAGCTGACACAACACTAACAGTGATGGTGTTTAAAGTGGAGCAAATAAAGGCTACCAGATTTCAGTGGACACGGCAGTGCCGAGGCAAAGGTCTGCATCGCTAACAGCAACGTTATCGCTGCTTGCTTCACTGCTAGTGCAATTTAACAGAAAGCTGGAAGGAAGAAGGCAGGGCAGCGCTGCTGTGTGTGCAAGCGAAAGAGCAAACTTTCTTCCCAAATAAGGAGGTTACCTCTGTCTCCTGTAATTTCAGTTCTTTTATTTGCTGAAGCAACATTTCTGCTTGCTGCTTCTCCTCCAGCCGGCGCCTTTCTTCCTCTTGTCTCATCCTCTCCAGTGCTTCCCTCCGTGCGATTTCATATTCATTTTCGTATCGTTTTTCCTCTTCTCGTTCAGCTGCTTCTTGCTTAGCAAGCCAAAAGAAAGCAAAGCATGTAAGGTTATGCACAAAGAAACAGCCCCTGGCTCAGGAAATCTGCAAATCACAAATTCCTGCAAGCTGAAATGAATTTGGACAATGTAGAACAAATACTAGGAAAGAAGATAAGGACAAAGTGAGACTCCCTGAAGACTGCAGTGCGAAAGTGGATGTTGGACCAGCCAGCTCTTCAGCAGGACTCCGCAGCGCTCTCATGCTAAGCACAGGTGACGCACTGTGAATCTAAAGAGGTTTTGTACACAAATACCCTCAGTTTCTTACTGACCTACATTATTCTTTTTGGTAGTTAAGTGAAATGTTTCTTTAGTGAAAGACCTTGATTAGCCTTTCAGATCAAAATTATTGTATCTAGGATTTGCACATGGAGCTCTTGCAGCCTGGCGCCCGGCCGCGTCCTGCAGGTGCCACGCGGGGCGAGCGGGGAGCACCGGCAGCGTGTGCCCCGCACGGAGCGTCACCGGCTCCTCCAGGAGACAAACTGCATCCGTTCGTTAGCTAAGAAGAGCATCTCTTAATTAAAAGCATCCTTCCTGTTAGCAATCCTGGTTGTCCTGTTACGGGAAAGCGCAAGGCAACATAGGTCACTATTCAGTAAGAAGACAGCGAAGCAGCAGCCAAATCCTGCTGCTCCCTGCGCACCCTGTTCCTGTCCTTACAGGCCGTTGGGATGCCCCTGAGCTGCGCCCAGAGGCGCGTGCTGGGAAACACGACGTGCTCAGAGCCCAGCTCCCCGAGGGGCCCTCGTGGCTGCAGCCCCCACGCACCTGCTTCTTCTGCTGGAGCTGCTCACCCCACGCCTCCCTCACATGCTTCTTGTGCAGCTCTGACTCCACCTGGAAGAAAACAGTGTAGACAGCGTCACGTTAGTGTCAGCAAGACATGGAGAGGACCCTTTGGAGACCCTCCTGGCACATCCGTAGCCCCAGAAGCCCTTGGGATCTTCCCCTGCAGCGGCTGGGGCTGCAGAACCCCAGAGATGTGGCTGCTGTGGTTGCTTTCAGCGGGCAGGAACCTCGAGGAGGTGGTTGCTCAAGGCACAAGCGCTGCAAACCCGTTCCCAGGGTGAGAACGGGCTGCTCGCCGTTTTCCAAGAGCGCACACTTTGACGGGAGCTCCTGCCCCGGTCAGCCCCTTTGCTACTCCTTCGCCGTTTGCCCGCGCTGGAGCTGCGAGCGCAGCGGAGCCACGAGAGCAGCTCCACGTGTTCACACGCGTGGCACTCGCGCGGCCGCAGCGGGCAACGTCACCTCCCGGAGCTCCGCGTTGTTCCTCCTCCAGTGCTCGAGCAGCAGCCCCTCGGCCACCTGCGGGCAGAGGCCGGTG